TGATTCCGTTACAGGAAAAATAGAGTCAATAATGTATTCTATTATCAACAACACCCCCGAAACTATTGCAATATTGCAACAACAAGAATCCCTTTCATTAGTACTATAATTCGTTGTCTTGTTCCTTCGGGCTGATAATTTAAAGTAATTATTATCATCAACTCTTATATCCGCAATAGGAATGTATTCGAACTCCGATTTCATGACATATTTGCCTCTAAAAGTAATCTTACCATTTTTATAGGTAGTTAATCTATCTCCACGAAATCTATGTGTCGTTTCAATTTCTACATCGTGTTCCCATCTACTAATATCATGCAACTTTCCTTGATCATAGAAAAAGCACACTCCATGATTCAGTCCATTCTCATCCTTATGACATATTGATATTAGATTGCCAGACTGATCTCGTTCATACCATAAATTCGAATTATCTGCACTTCTAGTAATTAGGGGATTTCGAGTGCCATCTGTAAAAAAACCATCAAACTCAATTTGTCCTTCTTCGTTGTATTCTACTCCGTATCCATCGCGATATCCATTTTGCAAATATCCTCGAAATAAAGGCTTCCCAGATCGGTAGTAGAAAGTGCATTCTCCATTTGCCTCTTCTTTTTCGAATATGAATGTTGCAATTCTTATGTTATCTGGAGTATAAATATTGGCTTCACCATCTAATTTATTCTTTTTTGTAGATGTAACAAGAGTATAACCATTATGAGGAGCTCCGATTTTACAAGTAGCTATACCTTTGTGAACACTAATGTCAATAATGGGAAACTCATCGGAAATACATTGATCCAAGTTTATTGTCTTTTCCAGGCATTCCATTTCTGGTTGAGGACTACTAGGATTGTTATCGATATTTACAACTATTATTGGTACAAATTGATCCATGCAATTGAAAATACTATACAATTGAACTAAAATACTTTTTGTTAAAGATCGAATTCTTTGCAAACACTAAAATGAGGCCAATTTCTTGAATTGCAAAATTATGCGGTATTTTCGGTTTCATTCACTTCGCACTTCTGAACAAAATCACGATTCAAATATCGATATTTGCCATATCTTCAATATATGTGAATTGCCCATTATTGTAAGGTGTGTAGTTGAGGAATACCCATTCATGTAGTATAAGTAATGGTTCTATGGATAATAGCAGGACTTGGGAACCTTCTTCTATGCATTCTTTGGTTTTTCTTGTGTGGTTATCGTCATTTGGTACAATAGCACCATATATTTACAGAATAGTGCAGTAGTATATATTAGAGGCATTTATGATAAGAATAGACCTATATAATGCTAATCTCATACGTGTCAGTGGATTCGATATCCTTGTGCTTGTAGATGATCAAACAGAAATTTAATCTCTTTATTTATCACAGTTTTACATTAATATGGTTCAGATGGTAGATTGCAACATAGACTTGAGTCAGCAAATAATCACTGGAGCGATGCTTTCATGTATCACTTGAATTTGAGGTTTCGAGAGAAAAGAATACTTCTCAGTAGGGAATCACTTACCATGGAAAATACAATCATCTTTCAGTATACAGCATATTCTAAATTAGCAATATTATAATTAGAGGACAAAATCAAATGTATCTAACATGTGAATCGTTTGGACACAAAGCCTTGCACGAACTTCTTGTTTAACATAGATAGAATCATAGATACGTTCCTGCCAATAGCACCTACATTTAGATATAGATTCGATGGTGCCACATTATCACCATATTTTATACTTACAACAAAAATGTGAATGATTGGAACATGTCGGCTGAACCAATCTGAGTCGTCGTCATGAATACATTGAATCATTGAATAGCCACGGAAGTAGTAGGAAAATGGTCTTGAACAAACAAGAGCAAAGAAAGCATAGACAACGCAATTATCAATTAGTGAAATTGAGTAAATTCACAACTGGTATTCCTTTCTCTTGATTTAGGGGATAAGATCAGTAAGAATGGAAGAAACATCTAGGAATGAAATCAAGTCAATCAAGCAATACTCGAAATTGATTTCCAATGAACATTTTGGAATGAACGAGGAAGAGTGACACTTCGAAGATTTGGAATATCTAAACCCAGTCAGGATTATATAGATAAAAATACTTTCCAACTGCACTTCACGAATATTAACAAAGCTGTCTCCCTGAGTATTGACAATGGTAGTTAGGTTTGGAAGATCTACATTCAATCACTTCGAATCATTTTATCCATACTTCGCATTGTCAAGGAACAGGATTCATCGCTTTTTCCGTAAAGTGCTAACCATCCTAATTCAATTCTTTGTAAGGATGGGAGATCTATGTCAATTATTTCATTCAAACTCATTCAATACTTTCGATTATTGTTGATAAAGAGGCAGAAAATGCAGTATTACACAATGTAATGGATTGTAGACTCGGAAGATCTATTTTTCATTTATTCAACATCGTATCAATACCTCGAATTACAAATGAGCTATAATAGAAATTATCGGATACTATATTTACTGAGCCAATCTTTATTAATCGTAGTTGTGGTAGATTCTTCAATTCAAAGTCTCCAGCAAAATCACTGAAACTATATTCACCAATTTGAATGGATTCCAATGATTTACAACTCAATATGTGGAATGATTTCGATGGATCATTTCCTCTTTTATCCTTTGTCTGAGTAAATGAATATTTACCGATCTGCAGAGTTTCCAATCGATTCAATCCATCGATTCTGAATAATCTCACATTTCCAAAACAATTATTACCAATATCCACAAACTTTAGATTCGGATATTTCGATAGGATAAAACGTAATAGACGGTTTTCACTTCCATCTTTCACTTCATATGTTTCTGAGTAATACCCTATTCCATGTGGACTTCCATAATAGGGATCTAAAAGTTTGTAAATAATAGTACATATTGTCATAATAATAACAATAACAATTATGGTTGACACGTAGATATTTTTCAACAGGAAAACGCCTGTTTTCTTCATTTTTGATTTGCACGATTTGTGAGTTCGATTGTATTCTTTCGAATCGTTCTTGGTTATGACTTGAGCTATTTTCTCATAATCAGTAAAATCACTTATTTTGCTTCCAAGGTACTTTGGACATTTCCAACGAATCAAAAGGAACAGTATTGCAAGAACAGAGAAGGAAATACCAAGAATCAGGTTTATCGTTAGACATGTTATTAGTAATACAACAAGAATTACAATTTTCAATATTTGAACAATCAAGGTATTCTGCAACGAACGCCCCATTATCCATTCCGTTTTGCCTGTGCTGCTTGGCTCACCATTTTTGTAGCATGTTCCCATTCCATGACGCACATTATCCTTATACATTCCCTTAAATAGAATCGATTGTCCATCAGCGTCATACTCTGTTCCAACTCCATTTCTTGGATAGTTTTGTTCCAAAGAATCCAAAAAACCTCCCTTGTACACTTTTACACCATTTTCATACTCTATCATTGTTTCATCACCTTTGAATTCTTTCAACACTTTGACTTCATTGCCATCTATACATTCACTCACGCGCGAAATCTTTCCACAATCATAGAAATAACAGATTTCATTGTGTTGGTCTGGATCGACAAATCTGAAAACATTTCGCAACTGATTTTTCTCATCCAGAACTTTCCAATATCCTTCACCCATTTCTGTAAAAGGATCCATTCTTAACTTATTGCCTTTATCATAATATCCGTCGAATATCACACTTCCTTGTTCATCGTACTCCTTTCCTCTTCCATGTCGATAACCATTCTCGAGATAGCCCTTAAAGAAAATAGTGCCCGATTGGTAATACAATTCACAAGGTCCGGTCAATTTGCCTTCAGAATACTGAATTTTGGCAATCACTACATTGTTAGGAGTTTGTATTGTAGCATCCCCATCTAGTTTACCATCCTTCATGTGGGCGTGGATCGAATAACCCTGATGTGGGTAACCAACACCCAAAACTGTCACATTCTCATTCTTTGATATGGTTTCACTAATAGGAAATTGGTTAGAGACACACCAATTCCATATTTCAGGACCATTGTCTTCCATTCGTAGATTACCACATGACTGGTCAAAGGGTGCCACATCCACCGTTAGCATTGGTACTTGTATATTTTCATCATTATCTTGATTCATAATAATAATAATAATTATAATATAAAAAAGAAGGATTACTTTTAAACGTACCACATATTCTTATTTTTATCATTGAACTTTTGGGTTTGTGATGTAGTAATTTAAATAATTATAAATTGTGTATCTAAATAAGGATAAGTGGAAGGAGAGTGAGTATAGGCTGAGGTTTTAGAGTGATAGTTGTATAGATGGGAGGATTTTTGATATGACAAAGACATTGAAAGGTGTAATTATTATGTAGAATGGCTGATAACTGCTAACCATAAGTGTATCACATTTTCATAACTTGTGGGTATATGAATGTTCTCCATACCGAAACTAGGTTATTCGCAGAGGGAGTTTTTATGTGTGCTTATTTTTGTTGGCTGTTGCGAGTTCTTTACGCATTTCTATTTGTCGGACGTGAGGGCATGCAATTTATAAGCTATGATGGAGTGTTAGCTCATGGTTGTCAAGCGGAATACTAGAGAAATGCGTTTTTTCTTGTTGTTAGGAACCTACAGGCAGTATTGTTGTATATTATTGGGTAGGATTTGCTGGGATAAAGCAAGGCTGTTGGATGTTCTTCCTTGTTGACTCATTTGCCAGTTGATCATAAAAGAAGGAAATATCGAAATGGAGATCACACAAATGGTAACTCCAGTGATAGAGAATCAATTCAAACTACGCTGGCATTACCATGAAGTATCCTTATTTTATGTCAACACCAATGTATCACTAAAGGCGTGCAATTAACAGCACTACTCTTCTCTCTCTCTTATTCTTCGGCTCTGTATCGAACAATCAGATACTCAACCTCATCATGTCGACTTTTATTCTTTCCATCTCCATTCCAAAACCTCTCATTTCTTCCAACAAACACCACACAGCAACATAAAACGACATTAGAAACGCTCTCTCTGTCGAGCAGCAACCTGTTTCATCTGGTTATACACCTTGCTGGGAGGTGAGCCCATGATCAGATTGCAGATTGCATTCCTCGCAATCGCAATATTAGCATAGGACCCCATGATGTGAATCCTAAAATATAAAAATAATCGGCAAAACGAATCATACGTCTGGTCAGCTAACACGATTCGGCAGCGCGTAGCGTTTTCAATCGCAAACTTGGTCTTGCCCATCTATCTCTCACAAATCGATTCTGCGGCCACCTGTCCAGCAATTCGACCGATCGCTCGACTGATGTGGTCGCCATGAAGCAGACGAACGTCCTTGATTTCGAAGGTTTCTGCACGTGAATCGATGTGAAAGCAACGACCAATGTATAAATCGTCCAAACGAAGCAGAGCCACTGCGTCTGCAATGTCGAAACCCAGCATAAACGCATGGATGTAGTCTTCTCCCTTCTGCAGACAACTGCTGTCCACAGTGTGAGGAGAAGTCTGCAGAGTAAGCAAAGACACAACAACCATACCTTTAGCTCAACACAGTTGGTCTTCTTGTTGAATCGAATCAGCAATTTTAACTGGTCAACTACTGGACGCATCAACTTTTCCCAGTTGTTCTTAAGCGGTGTTTGTATATTAAGATGACTATACAAGTTGTGCAATGCACATTAATCAGGATATGAATCGATTTGGAGGACAACGAATGCGACGAATCTCCTCCTTGCCCTAAAAGGTAAACATTGCAATCACCTCCTACAGCCATGTCTTTTGCAGAAAGGGCAGGAAAACTAGGCGCATCTTCTACGTTCTTCTCTTCTGCCACCTTCTCCATCTTGTCTTCGATCTCTTTGGCACTCACTACGTTCTTTTTTTCTTCTTCCATTGTTTTTCGAAGATAGAATGGTTTGCTGCTGTAAAACAATAGTTTGTAATTTCCCAGGGAAAAAAGGGAAAAAGAATTCCCACACCGGGAATCGAACCCGGATCGGCAGGGTGAGAGCCTGCTATCCTAACCTATTAGACTATATGGGATCTATATTCGTTTTCAATAAGGCATATACAAGATGCTGTTCTTCTATCATAATCTTTCCAAAATAAGATGGTTTGTTATCGTGATACAATTGTCTGTAGTTTCAAGTGATAAAAAACAAGAAAAAGGGAAAAAGAATTCCCACACCGGGAATCGAACCCGGATCGGCAGGGTGAGAGCCTGCTATCCTAACCTATTAGACTATATGGGACCTGTTTTAACCTCTCAACATAGTACATACAACACTCCAGACAGATCCTTTCGTTTCCAACCAAACAATTGTTTACTTACAATGCCTATTGATATTAACCTGCTTCGTGTCTCGCGTGGAGGAAACCCGGACTTGGTTCGTAAATCTCAGAAAGACCGTTTTGCCAGCGTGGAGCTTGTCGATGAAGTGATCGCTCTGGATGATGTACCTTTCGTGTTTCCAATTCACTGTAGAAATGGAGAGCTCTTGTTGGAAGCATTGACAACATGAAGAAGGAAAAGCGTATTTTGTCCACTGCTGTATGCTTCGACAATTGGATCTGATCAATAGATCGGAAAGGCTCGCAAGGAGGGCAAAGATGCAGCGGAGGAAGCCGCAAAGGTGAAGGAGGTGACTGCAAAGATCGAAGAAACGGAGAAGGAAGTGGAGAAAGTGCGTGTGGAGCGTGATGCCAAGTTGGGCAAGATCGGTAACATATTATCGGATACTTGCATCATCGACAACAACGAGGACAACAACGGTGTTGTCTGGAAGTGGGGAACGCCCCGTCCCATGACCAAGGATATGTATTGCCATCACGAGCTTTTGTGGATGCTCGATGGCTACGAACCCGAGCGCGGAACGCGCGTAGCGGGCCATCGTGGATACTTCCTGAAGGGTTCTGCGGTGCTGTTGAACCAGGCGATCATCATGTACGCGATGCAATGGAACACAAAGCGCGGATTCACGCTGTTGCAGACTCCGTACTTCATGAATCGCGACGTGATGGCCGGCGTTGCGCAGCTGGAGGACTTCGACGAGAGTCTGTACCACGTTGAAGGGGAGGAGGGCGAAGAGAAATATTTAATCGCGACGTCGGAGCAGCCGATCTGCGGGTATCACATGGGCGAGTGGCTGGACGAGAAGGAGCTGCCGTTGAAATACACGGGGTTCTCAACGAACTTCCGGAAGGAGGCCGGAGCGCACGGGAAGGACACGTGGGGCATTTTCCGCGTGCACCAGTTCGACAAAGTGGAGCAGTTCGTGATTTCGAAGCCGGAGGAGAGCTGGGCGATGCACGAATACATGATTCAGAACTCGCGCGAGTTCTACGAGTCGCTGAATCTGCCGTACCGCGTGGTGAACATCGTGTCGGGCGCGCTGAACAACGCGGCGGCGAAGAAATACGATCTGGAAGGATGGTTCCCGGGGTACGAAGCGTACCGCGAGCTGGTGTCGTGCAGCAACTGCACGGATTATCAGAGCCGCGCGATGGAGATTCGGTGCGGCGCGACGAAGAAGAAGAACGAGGAGAAGAAGTACGTGCACATGCTGAACTCGACGCTGTGCGCGTTGACGCGGACGCTGTGCTGCATTCTGGAGAACTATCAGACGAGCGAGGGCGTGGAGATCCCCGAGGTGTTGCAGCCGTGGATGGGCGGAATCAAGTTCCTGCCGTTCAAACGACCGCTGCCGCCCGCGATGCTGAAGGCCAGAGAGGAGAGACTGAAGCAGATGAAGTAGAGGGAATGGGAATAAGAATTATGGAATGGGTATTGTTTGTTTTTAAGAAATATGGGGTATTTTTGGAATGGGGCAGGGGTTTATTATTTTAATTTCGAAAAGGACTCTCTGTATGGAATGGAGACTTTAGATGAGTGTCCTTGTGTAAAACCTGTGCAGCAGTCGCTTTACAACATGGACAGCCTGATTGATGTTTCTTCTTCGATGGATGAGGAACAGCTGGAGATCGAGAAAAAACAAAATTGCATGATCGTGTCTTCTGTGGATTGTTTGTATTCGGATCCAACTCTGTTTGATTCGTTTCCTCTACCGATTGGGTTGATTATCCACCCGTTTTTGCACAATTCGGATTCTACCATACATATCAAATCGAAACCCGTGCGCTGTGAGAATTGTGGGGTGGTGGCGTCGAAGTTGAGCGAGGTTGAGTCAAATGGCTGTTGGAAGTGCACCTTTTGCAGTTCAATCAGTTCGGAACCATACAAAGGGGAATATATAAATAAGAACAAACAAATCAATATTCTGGAGTGCTACCCGGAGCTATCGGAGGATGCGGAAACGGTTGAATTTGGAACTTGTTCGGAAGATGAGAACACGTTATACTCTCCGACTCTGGACACGCATGCTATAATTTTTGTGATCGATAAATCCTTAACGACGAAGCAGTTTTTACACATTCAAAATTCCTTGTCTGTTGTGTTTAGTAGTCCTTCTCTAAGTCACTACTATATTGGACTGATTGTTTTTGGAGAAGTAATCGAGATCTACGAACTGGGAGGCCAAATCGGAGAAGCCGACGTGTATCCTGGATCTCATTTACCTTCCGCTGCAGTTCGCCTCTTTAGCGGTGGATCTCAACCCTAGGATGAGCAGTATGTTCGTGTTCACGAACGTGAGGGCAGTGATCGCACGAAAGCTTCCGAGTCGTTTGCCAGTTATCTCGCTCCTTTCGAAGTAAACCAAACTCGTTTTTTGGACATCTTGAGCACGTTTACTGTGAAAGAAGAGCGGTGATTGGTTTGCTCATTGTGGCTCATTCCTAGAATTCATCCGATTTCGATCCTCACCTTTCTCACGGCTACACGATATGCGGAGCTGCTCTTTAGTACCGGCGTATTCGCTTCGGGACAGATCATCGTGTGCACCCAAGGCTTTTTCTACGATTTGCCTTCAGATCCTTATTTGCGGATGGGTTCAGCAGTAGCAACTCGATTTTGAAAGTCTAATTTGAAGGAGGAAATCGTAGACGCCGAGCTGTTACATCAGCGATTGTTTTGCTACCAAAATCATCTTGTGATCGACGCTTATCTAAGCGGGTGTATGTACAACTCCATCCGAATCCTCAAAGTACCCTCGCTCATCCATCTTTCGATCGTGTCTAGTCTTTGATTACGCCTCCCGGAGGCTCCGTTTTGCTCCTCGCTGATTCCTTTCAGACCGATTTTATCAACTGTATCGCTCGCTCTTTCCACTCTGCGAGCTCTTCCTCCACGCTCACCATCCACATCGGAGAAGGAATGGAGGTCGAGCGCGTCCTCGGCACCTGCATGACCTCCTCCATCAAACGTTTCGATCCGAACCCTCCTTCATTGTAGGGTTTGGAAACTCCTCTGTGGTGACCGTCGAATTGGGGCGTTGCTTCGCCTCGACTTCGATCACGCTGCTGCTCAGCGCTGCTCCGAATCGCCGTCCGCTTCCCTGGAAAATCCCTGTAGGAGTCGAGATCGCGCTTTCCGAGCAGATCCAAGCGGAGATCAGCTATGTGGATCGCGTTTCCAAGCAGCGTTTGACGCGTTTGCAGACGTTCTGCGTGCAAGGGACCGACGATCGCGTGGACTTCCTCAGCCGCATCGACGGCTACTCGACGGCGGTGCTCATCGCGAAAGACGTTTGCAGCAACGTTGCTTCGCTCTCTTCTGGTTCTGTTTAGCTCGACACGTCGTCCACGGTGACGGAGAACGTGAAATACGGCATCGACTATCTTCTCAGTCAGATCCTCGCCTTCTATCGTCGCTTCTACTCCCAGCCGTCGACTCATTCCTTGGATCATCCTCCTGCGTTCAGCACGCCGCCTCCGCCCCTGCCTTCCACGCTCTTCAGCTCGCCTCCTCCTCCTTCACTCACGTCCTCGCCTTCCTATTCCTCCTTCTACTCCTACACTCGCACGTTATCGCAAGGCGATCTCACCACCGTCGTCGACTCCTTCGACTCTCCGTCTTCTCATCCCTCCTTTTCCCCCTCCCTCTCTCCCAGCCATCTCGCTTCTCCTCCGCTTCCTCCCTCGCCTTCTCGCTGGTCCTGGCTCCTTTCTCTCTTCTCTCGCTCTGCCTTCCGCCCTTTTTCATCCTCCTTTGCTTCCTCCTCGTCGCTCCACACGCGATCGCAGTCCGATTCCTCCATCCAATCCCACCTCCCTCCGCTTCTCCGCGGGCTCCCGCTCTATCTCTACAGCCTCCATCGCGGCTGTTTGTTCGGCGACTGCTTCCACAACGGCGATCTCCTCCAGCTCCATCGCCTCCGCCTCGCCTCCGCCTCCCTCCAAGACTCCCTTCGCATCATTCTTCCTCGCCTGGTCCTCGCTCGCAGCGACTCCGACGCTCCCATCCATCGAATTCGATCCGTTCCCGCCACCACGCCGCCGCCTCCGATCCCTTCCGTTCTCTCGCATCCGAGCGGTTTGGCCAGCGTGGGTTCCATGCCGCTCCTCTCCGTGCAGTCGAGCCCCAGCGCGCGCTCGGAGGTGTCGGTGGAGAAGGAGGAGGGCTGCGAGTTCGTGATGCTGGTAGCGGAGGATTCGACCGACGGCTTCCCCTATTTTATGAAGAGAAGCATGATGGGACGCTCGACTGCCGCGCCGATTCACCCCGAGTTGATGGTTTTGCCTCCCGAAACGCTCGCGTTGATGAGCGACTCGATTGTGGTGCTGGACACGGAGCGCGAGATCTTTATCTGGATCGGAACGGAGCGATCGGAGGTCGACGCGGATCCTTTGTATGATCACTGCGTTTCGCTGGCTCTGTCTATGAACCAGGAGCGATTCCCGCCGTCCATTATTCGGGTGGTGCGAGAGGGGTCGTCGAGTGCTCGGTTTGTGCTCAGCAATTTGATTCCTTCGCATAAAGACCCGATCGAAACGTCATTTCTGTCACTTCCCTTTCTGGCGACGTTACCTCCACAGTATTTGAGGCAACACTGTAATAAATTCCTACGAACGGACGATATGTCCTTCCGTGAATATATGGTCAAAATCTATCATTTTAAGTGCGGTGTTTGTTCTTGTGATAAATTTGTCTCCATAAGCTTTTTGTGCTATTATTGATGTTGGTTTTGGTTTTGTCACACTCCTCTGGGAAATAGGAATTGAAGCTTGTAAACCAAGAAAAACAATAATCCTATGGCTGATTTTCGTCAACAAAATAGGAAATTATATTGAGGAGCAAAACTTTTCGTTTGGCACGATTGACCATAGAATATCCCTTTTTATGCCTTTACTGATATTACAACTTGAAATAACAATTGTTATGAAATGAATTTTAGAAAACAATGATTTGGCTTATTTTGGCATATTACTTATACTGATGCAAAAGTTTGTCGATTTGCTCAATTCTGAATTGAGCGGCTATAGTCTAGATACTTCTCTTATCCAAAGTTCGCAATCATGCTTGGATATAGAAATGAAAGTGTATGACTGGATTTCATTTATATTGAGTAACAGAGAATGTGTACTATTGAAAATGAATAATGGCGTATTTTTGAATCAAGGATTTGTGGTGAACGATGAGAAAGTGTTAAAAGTGTTTGGAAATCATCAAATTGGTGCTATTTCGTATAATGAAGACACAAGTGGTGTTGAAAAAGGAAGTGTTAATTTGGAACATGGAAATCGATTTGAAGGATTGGTGTTGACAGAAAAAGAAGGTAAAATTGGAATTCCATTTGGATATGGTGAAATGTATGATAATGATGGATTCTTGGTGTACAAGGGCATAATGATCAATTGGAAACGATTTGGATATGGATCGAGTTATCATAATAATGGTGGAGTGGAATATGAAGGATATTGGTGTGATGATAAGCGATTTGGAAGAGGAATCGTATGTGATCAGTATGGTAAGTTGGTGAACGAATGTATGTGGTACAATGGAATTGAAGGTGATTATAGTGAATACAAGGGGAACGGAAGCAAGCCATTGAGTATCTGTATCAAACATCTGAAACTGACTAACAACTGTATACTGGTTGATTGGGATGTTTCTTTGTTGTATAATTTGGAATCAATCGAAATCGGGAATGAATGTTGTAGCTTAGTACAAACATTCAGAATCGATGGATTGAATCGGTTGACAATATTGAAAATCGGAATCAATTCATTCACCCAAAAAAGGAATAGCTTTGGCAAGGATGAATCAAAATCATTCCACGTATTGAATTGCAAATCATTGAAAATAATTCAAATTTCGGAATACAGTTTCAGTGATTTTGGAGGAGTATTTGAATTGAAGAATCTGCCTTTACTTAAGTTCATCAATTTTGGTTTGGTTGGATACAATTCATTCAATTTCTGGTATAGTTCGCTTGTGGTTCGAGGTAGAGATATGATAATGTATTTTATAATGATTAGATCTTCCAAATCTACAATCCATTATTTTAGGTAATTGTGCATTCCAATACGGATTATCAACAGTAATAGAAAGTATTAAGTGCCTTTGAATGAAATAATTGACATAGATTGTCCAAATCTGCATTCCATTACCTTAGGAGATAGTGCACTTTGGGGTAGAATTGAAAACAATGCGTGCTCATTAGTATTGCGAGGTATGATAGGCGCGAATTGAATTGCATAAAATTTAGATCTGCCAAAACTAGTATCTATTACCAATTATAGAGGATGGAGTTTCAGTTATGTGCGTGAAGTGACATTGGAAAGTTTGCTTATATGTAAATATTGATAGGATGTAGATGTTCCTAATGTTAGAAATGTCAAACTGCCTTATGCATTCGAGATAGTTCAGTTTAAGTCAATTTCGAGTATTATGTTGGTTGATTGGATTCCACTCATAGATGTTTCTTCCATTCTTGCAGATCTAGTTAATAGTAGATCTTATTTTGCCAGAAGTGATGAGAGTGGTGAAAGTGATGAGAGTGATAATTCGACTGAAAGTGGAGACAGTGGATATGGTCTCGATAACTATACTATTAATGACTTCCTTGCTTATTTAAACGGCGATGATGACGAAGAGAATAATGATATGGCTGCTTTTGATGAATTTGATGATTACGATATGTATTAGTTACTACTCTTTACAGTCATGACTACTATTACTATTTCTGTGTACAGTCTAGTATTTCTAATATATTTCTATTTTGTTTTTTTCTGAATCACTCATTTTGTACGTTAAAATATAATGATATCACCAATACATTCAGTAGCAGCAGCTGTCGGAATTCTGCTTTGTATTGGACTCATCATATTATTCTTAGGCATTGCTTTGTTTATTGTATTAGTACAATAGAACCATTACCAATAGCTGGGTTTGCCAAGTCGAAGCAAGAATTGTGAACATAATTCCAACAAACAAAAACTCACTACCATTGATCAATTCTCAATAACGGTAGTTCGTAATTCAAGCAGTTACTGACTTGGTGGCAGTAAATCTGAAAGAATAGAAGACACATCTAAAAATGTAGAACATTACTAAAAAATACTAGAAACGGATGTAACTTGAGTACGTTCAAATGAATTCTCCAGATCAACATACTGTATGTTGGAAATATCTGTATTTGTAAGTATTCTAAAATCGACTACTCTCAAGAGTAACTGTATAAGGATTCTGGAAGCAAAAACCATTTGCACACGTAAGAGAGGTTAAACTTGGTAGATCTATATGATTTTACATCACCCTATCTTATTCATACTTCGCATTGTCAAAAGCGATCTCGTTGTTGCTACACCTCGGAGAGAATATCGGCCAAGTTTAATGGATTGTAAAGAAGGAAGATCTATTCCGATTATGTTATTCATTCACTATATTTTACTTTCAAATACAGTTTCTAAAGGGGAGACGCATACGTCATTACCTAATGTGATAAATTTTAGATTTGGAAGGTCTTATAATTCAATACATAAAATCAATTTCTTACCTCGAATATATAATGAACCATAATAGAAATTGTATGAAGAACGTAGCGGTAGATTACTATCATATATACCCATTGTGATTGATTGTAGAGAAGGTAAATTCTTTAACTCAAAGTGTTTGTAATCACTAAAACTGAATAAACCTATCTCTAGATTTCTTAGTAAACCACAGTTCATTATTTTGAATGATTTTGATGCATCACTTCCAGAGCCGTACCTTTTTTGTGTAAAGGAATTAGCTGCGATTATTACGTTGGTCAGCAGAGCATTATCGCTGATATTAAACTGCTTAACATACATAAAATTGTCTTCCTCTATCCATAGAGTTTGTAGGTCTCTGAACCTGCTAGTAGATAGGGTTGTTAAGTCTATATCATTGCATGCATTTTTAGCGACATGTAACATACTTGTTGTATTGTCCAAATCGTATATTTGTTGGCAATCCCCGCTAATATCTGTACTAGTTAGTTCCATAGAAGATACGTTGAATGTTTGTATTTCATAGAATCCTGAGCTTTTCTGAAATACCAAATAGGAATTATCATAACTAATATTAAAGTTTGAATTTGCGTTCCATCCATTTCCTCCCATATCTCTCATTATTATTGTATATTCTGTGGGATATAGACATATGAATGCATCGATAATCGTACAACTGTCTTGATAATAAACAGCTTCTTCTTGAGGTCGTATTTCCAAACCTTCATGAATCTCAAATGATTCCTGATCACTGACATCGTTTTCACAGCTCCGTTGAATATGAATAGGTATTTGTCCTTCAGTACATTGATTTGGAATAGGTGTTATTACTTCAAAACTCTTAGGATCGAAAACTTGTTGAGATTCCGTTCCTTTTTTCATTTGGAATGGCAGTGTCTTATTATCCAAATCCAATTCTAACAGTGAATCGGAATACCATCCGTCATGATATGTATCTTTCATTATCAGGGTGTAATTTACAGGATTTAAACACAAATATGTGTTTACATTAATACAAGTGTCTTGACTATAGATTGGTTCATTTTGTGGGAGTAAAAATGATCCTTCCGATATTTCAAATCCTTCTTGATAGCCATGGGCATATCCACACTTTCTAAGCAAATGAACAGGTAACTGACCTTCAGAACACTGAGAAAGTATGAGCTGTGCCATATTAAACACCCTTTTACGAGAATCTTCAAATCTTACACTGAATGACACTGATGAATTAACATATGTGAATTGAACTCCGTAAGGACTACTCCAGCCAGTATGTAGAGATGTCATTACAATGGTATGAATAACGGGTTTGAAACATATATATCGATGCGATGCTAGACAGTTGTTTTCAGCAAGAACTATACTGTTCTCTGACTCAGTATCCAATCCTTCATATAACTTAAATGTTTCACTATTTTCATAAGAACCACATGTACGATCATAGGTAAGCAAGAATTCTCCTTCACCACATTGCATATCCTTCGTAAAAATCATGGGATTGAATACATGCGTTTCGTTTGTACTCCCACATTTTCTGTAAGTAGCAAATGAATCTTGATAGCTGACTCTTATGTAAGAATTAGTGTACCATCCTCCGCTATAAAGGTGATATGGTAAGATAGTATAATCAACCGGATTCATACAGAAGTATGTATCAACAGAATAGCAAAGATCTTGACTATAGATTGGTGAACCATGAGTCTGATTAACTGGTCCTTCATACAATGCAAATCCTTCTGCATTACCTTGATATATTGGGCATTTTCGTACAAAATGAATCAGCATTTGCCCGTCAGAACACTGAGGAGGGTCTAGCTTGACAGTTTCAAGAGTAGTAGCATTAAATATTTCAACAGATCCAGAAGATAAATACAGTGAAAACCTTATATTGTAATCTCCATGGGTCATAATCAAAAGTGAACCTTCCCATCCACCACCATGCTTATCTCTCATAATTATAGTATGCAAAACGGGATTCAAGCAGATATATGTTAAAGTGAATAAACATGAGTCTTGACTATAAACTGGTGTGCCATGTGGGTAAATATCTGCTCCTTCATATATGTCAAATGAAAAATGTTGGCCATTTTGTTTATAACAATTACGATCCACATAGATTGGTATTTGTCCTTCAGAGCATTGAGGATGGCGTTCATTGATTATCTCTAGATTGGTAGCATTGAATATTTCTATTGAACCAGAATCCTTTTCCAAATGAAATGCATGAGAATATTCATCATGTGATAATACTAAGTACGAATTCCAACTCCATTTCCATCCACGTAAATGCTTCATAACAATAGTGTGTTCCATGGGCTTAAAGCATAAATAAGTATTTACAATTGTACAATTGTTTTGACTGTAAACTAATTTCCCGAAATATTGAATATTTGACCCCTCATATATTTCGAATGCTTCATTTTCAGGACTAGAAGTACATGTCCGATTTAGGTGGATAACTATTTCTCCCTCTCCACATTCAATAGGATATTGAGTAGTTGGTGCTGGAGTATGCGTGGGAGGTAAAGCAGAAGGTGTCGGTGTCGGTGTCGGTGTCGGTGTCGGTGTCGGTGTCGGTGTCGGTGTCGGTGTAGGAGTAGGAGTTGGTGTTGGAGTAGGAGTAGGAGTAGAAGGAGTCATTGTAGTGGTTGGTGTTGGAGTTGGTGTGGGTGTTAGAGTTGGAGTTAGTGTTAGTGTTGGAGTAGGTGTAGGTGTAGGTGTTAAAGTAGGAGGCACAGTAGAAGGAGTCATTGTAGGAGTCGGTGTTAGTGTTGGAGGAATCGGATTCAAGGGTATAAGTTCTACAGTTCCCTGATGTCCTTTGGTGTTCTGAATCGTCGTTTGAATGTATTTCACTACAATCATAGAAATATCAATATTGTATTCAAGACTTGTAATATTGCTAAACGATTCATCACCCAATTGAAATGTTAAATTCGAATTAATCTGAGTCACGGATATCACCCAGAAATTTAATAAGGACTGAATTCCAACTTGAAAAAGCATCAGACTAGGAGTGTTTAGACGAAAATATCCATTCAATTCCATCAATCTGCGCGCCAAAGACTGAGAAAGACATCCATCACCAATATGTATGTTTTCAATAATAGGACAATCTAGAGTAAAATTGAAAACATTCGGAAATGTATAGTCTTCAAGAGTTAAACTTCGCAGATAGGGATAAGTAAAATATAGTTCCTGCACATTGCTCAGTTCACTATGTGTAAATCTCAGAACGGATATATCAGCAGGAATTCTATTTATATCATCCTGAGTATCCTGAAATCTTGTTTCTAGAGGTGCCGTTATGAATTGGATCGACATCGCATATCCAGCAATTCCAGCATAGTTCGCGTTAGTTTCACTATCAGTAACAGGGAGATTCATCTCGATATTCTCGCAAGGCACCACGTTGAAGGTCACAGTCCATTTCGTTTCATCGAAGCCCTTCATCACACCATACAAAGAAGGTTCATCCGTAGCTCCAGTGTAAATGTCATCGCCTGTCACATCGTTCACAGTCTTCATTCGAACCAGGTCGAGAGCCATCAGCACAATCACAGGATCGCCCTTAGCAATAAAGTTCATCAATCCGCTCTTGTTCGGAGAATCGTTCTTCGTCACTTCAAAATAGAACTTGGGAGTGTTTGCCGAGCAGAGCTCGTTTTCATTAAGCAATCCAGCCACCGCTTCGCTCATTAATCCCTTCTCAGTTACAAATGCTGCGATATCTTGTGGAGCAACATCATTTGGTTCGATTTCTTGGCTTTCTGGGAGACATTTGAGAACGTAAGGCAAGGACAACGGTTCATAATATCTCTCTTTTCGCAAGGCAGCTTCGGCAGCAAGAACCAAAGCACTGGCCCACGACGTAGAAAACGAGTGCGGGGCAGAATACTTTTCAGTTCCCTCGCACATATCACGACCAACAACATACTCGTTTGGCCAGGAGGGTGCAAGAGTACTCTCAGGCTCAGCATAGGAACCTTCTCCAGAATACTTCACTCCAAGATCCATCATTTTTTCCAGGTCTTCGTCTCTAAAATCAGACAGAATCGAGAGATTCATAGGGTAGTTTCTGTAGGGAGCCTTTTTCTGGATGTCTAAACAAGATTGTTTCCAAGTATGCTTGAAGTGACTACATATTAATCGATCATACAAAGTACAACCTCTTATATTCCGTACAATCATTATCGCACTTTGAGGGATAGGCGTGCAGATAGTTCATGTACGCACTATCATCACATAATGAGGTAGCCTGAGCAATAAGGTAAATAGAAATGCAAAGTAAAGGTAAGAAAGACTTCATTTCAATAATTTTATATTAACGGTGTTATGAAGGATACTATTACATATTCCAAAAATCTGGACTATACTGAAACATGAAAATGTATAGTAATGTATGCAGTTTCATAATTACAATAGTATTACTCAGAAAAGGTATTAACAAATACAGGTAAGTTACATTTCATCTATTGCTGTGCATATTTAGTGTATTTAAAATCGTTTTTGTTATTGACTTTAAATAACAAGTGTAAATAAACAGTAGTTACAATAATCAATGGGTTAGCTTATTTCTAAGATGGTATAGGCAGCAAGGTAATGTATGAAGTAATATTTGCCAAAAAAGGTATTTACTGAATTACTCTTGTGTGGCACTTCGTTTCACTAAACGCACCCCTACTGTTCCTATCATCCGAATATAAAGTATCACTATATATTCTTTGAACATTAACCACAGTTGTCTCATCACTAATAGGATCTCTGAATTGCAGTCTCTTGTGGTACAAACTATATATGATTATCATCAAGCTAACGACTCTTTGCCAATCCTCTTATTTTTTTGAGCAAATCCATGATTCAAGTGTGTAATCAAGGTATCAACATACAATAGTAAAAACTATTTTAAGCATTACTTTACTAGGCTATTCGAAAGCTAGAAAAAAGAATTATCATATCTGAAAAGTAATGACGACTGCATTCACCCTTTTCACGCGCCACACTCCACCCTCATTAGTCTCTCCCAATTCCGACCCATTTCGACATTACTAATACAAACAAATGATGGAAATAACAAAACTAAACAAGAAACCGGTGATAAACCAACCACAGCAAGCCAACCACAAGAAGAGAAACGAATGCTAGAATAAGGATACAATAGACACATCGACGCGAAGCAGCTTCTTTGTCTTCGGAGAACTTCATAAAAACGATATCATCCACTTCAAAAAATGACTTTTTCCGGCGAAGTGGAGCAGTGAATACATTTGTGATTGGTTTTCTTCCATCATATCCTGTGAGAGTTTTCATGTAGTCCATCAAACCCTTTTTCTTTTGTTGGTAAATTCTCCACTCTGGGCCGCTGTAATAATCATTCCAGCTTTCATTTAGAAGATTTCTCCGAAAACCAGTAAAGTTGTCCATTACTCCTTTCGGGATAGCAATTACCCAGTAAACAGTCACATAGGAGCCACCTCCAAACTTCCACTTTATTCGTGGACGAATACTAATTTCACGATCAATACACCCCATAAAGAAGTAGCGAGTGACATCCATGCATCTATTAACATCCCTCTCATCAAAATTCATACATCTCAGCAACAAGATATACATACTATCCAGAATATTGTATTGCACCAATTCGTATTTAATAGTTTCCAGATAATATTTCCGTGGAGGGAAACAGCGAATGTTGCACAGTTGACAACACCAGTTCTTTTCGGACTCACAGCCATCAATATACCGAATTAAATCCACAATATATTTCCCAGAGATAGATGTGTGAAAATCATGACTAATAACAGTCTTTAGGGTCAGGATGATGAACTCATACTGCTGGATACGGTCGGTAATTGAAGTAACTTGCTGGGAATGGTTGTTGAAATACTCGTAGCAACAATGAACGTCAAAATTGTCCTCAATGACGTACACGCTACGGACCAAGTTTAGAAACGTCTCCATGTTCTTTGCATCATCAGAGAACTCCATTCCTAAATCTGATCGATATTCGTCCTCTTGGAAATGGAATTGTATGAATTACCGTTATTTACGGTTATTTGCAAAATTTGGCATAACTCATGTGGGATGGAAATAGGACTTGGGCATGAGAGCTATCTCATGGCTTTCTATATTAATTACGTTGTGGCGTTGAAAAGCATGCTTTTGGAAGTGGAAATAACCTATTTGGTTGCTTTTCAGAAAAGATTTTTACCAGAATCTAGTTTGCTTAGAATATGCTTTTAGTCAATTTTCAATTTTTGATGAGATTATTGTAGAATATGTGGGGTTGAGAAATACCGATTATTCTTTCGAGTTCTTGCAATTTAGCCCCATCTCACTTACTGTTTTGGCTTTTCTAGAGGAATTATAGAGTTGCTGTATAGCGTACAGCAAAAATAGACCCTTTTTGTGAACAAACAGATATAAGGGATAGCTATATATACAGTTCTACCACTTCCATCATCTGCAACAGCCTCTATCAAGCGCATGCCATTGAACGAAACAGACGAACTCCTCATTTCCACATCGCGCGCAGCAGTGTCCACATCCCTCACTTCTTGAGCCAATTGGGGTTGCTGCATCTGCCCCGCAGCGAGCTGCGTCTGATCCGGCTGAACGGACTGCGCAGGCTGCACGAGCTGTACTGACCGAATAGGTTGAACAGGCTGAACCACACACACGGGCTGCATGAAATGGACAGGCTGAACAACTCGAGTCGTTCCAGCAGGCTGCGCAGATTGCACTGGCTGTGCTGCCTGCACAGGCTGCACTGGCTGCACTGGCTGCGTAGCTTCAGGAATTGGCCTCGGAGCGCCGATTTGATTTGGATTGCTGGGCGTTTCTTCCAACTCGGGAGAGAGACGCACCGAGGAGAGCTCGCGGTCATCCTCGTCCGCGCAGCCTCTACAGCAGCAGGAAGACGAGGAAAGGTCCCTTGAGGCATCCTGCAAGCGGAGCTCTTCATCGCCCATAATGTACGACGATGACAGTCCCTTCGGATCGCAACAAGCGCAGCGGCAGCAGCAGCAGCGGTCTTCATCATCGGCCACACAACAGGCGCAGCAACCACCGGTAATGTAGTCCTTGTCTCGGAAAGCAGGATTTCGATCGGAACCTTCGTTTGACTCGTTGGCAATCTTGTGGTAGCGCCGGTAGCGCCGAAACTGCACAATCAGAACTGAGATGAATGGAGGGAAAAAAACATACGGCATAAAAATGTTGTGGGGAGAAAGACGATCTCGAGCCAGCAGCAAATCAAGTAAGTGAGGGCGAAAATATGGAACCAGGTAAGATTCACTTCTGCTACATATTTGTAGAATACGGAACCAATAACCATCCAGGAAAACTCAATTGCCAGGACTGTAATGTAAAGGATACTGAACAGAGTAGTCCAGCATACGTCATATCTACCACAATCACAAAGACTTGATACAGAAACCGTTTCTTCTTTTTCCAAACGAAAAAGAACTGCACAAAGTAGAATAGAGAGATAAAGTGAAAAATCCCGATTAGAATGCGAATCTATGTTACATAAAAAGCAGAAGATACATACATACATCCATATTACGGCCCGTTTGGATTGCACACTTTTGCAGGCAAAAATAAGAATGAAAAAAGCGACCAGTGATGTCACTAGATTCAGCAGAATATTAAAATAGTGCAAAAGCGGATGGAGCGCAACATGAGTTCGCAGTGGCATCGAGGTTTGCTCCATTCTCTTGCTATGCTCTAAGTGATCAGCCCCAATATTTATATACCTCAAAGCGTTTTTCGACTTCCAGAATAAATAGGTTCGATTTTGGTCATTCAGACATGCTTTCAAATTTAGTATAGAAAAATCAAGTAAACATGAGATTGCTTCTCGTAACACTTGCGCTTTTTGTTCTCGCCTCTGCAGAATATTACATGGAGTAGAGAATAGCGAGGTTCCTTACGTGTAGTTCATTAGGAACGCTCACCACGGATGAATTCGTGCAGCTTTCTTCGGATGAGTCTCACAGACCGCTTCTGGTGGCATTCATTTCTCCCGCCTGCAAGAAATGCGAGGATTACTATTATCCCATGATCCAGGCGCTTCACGCCTTTCGAGGAACCGATGTACGCTTTGTTGATCGCGTATCTGATTTTAGATGGTTGTGGCTACCATGAACACAGCCGATGCCGAAGGCCATTTGGGTGATTGTGACATCAACATGGAGGCCGAGCGTCCTGAGTTTCGTTTTTACAAGCCGAATACCGGCGTGTGTTTGGAATGTCCGGACAAGCAATTTAATGTGCTTCCTTTGCTCGATTCGTCTGACTCTTAGCTGGAATGGGTGGCTCGCGAGCTCAAAGTGAAGATGCGTCCGTCTCGCTGGACGGAACTCACTGACAAAACGTTCTACAAGTTCGTGAATCATCCTCGGAAAACGTCGATCATTGAAGTCTACGCGCCGCGCTGCATTTCGTGCCAGAATCAGTACAACGATCTGGAACGAATTATGGTCGCTTTCGACGTTTGGTAGCATCATGTCATGTGATGTAGTCGGAGCCTGTGCAGTTCGGAAAGATCAACAGCGACCAGTACATTCGTTTCTGCTCGCAGTGGAACATTACGACGCTTCCACACTTCATGCATTTCATCGACGGCAAAACCTACACGGACGTGCAGCCGACGGTGCAGGGAGACACGGCGATGCTCGACTACTTCAATGGATTGATCGGAAGTGGAAGAGAGATCGATGGCAAGATTAAGGATCGATTCGGACTGGAGAGGAATATCACCCGCCAGCTGGATCGGTTTATGAATGTAGAGGCGAGGGAGAGCGGTTTCGTGTAGGGAGATCGCAGCGCGAAGGAGATGGTGATGGAGGATGTCCGATCGCACTTGAAGGAATATCAGAACGCGAAAATGTATCTGCATGTGATGAAGAAGGTCGTGGAGCAGGGAAAGGGCTTCTTGGCGCAGGAGCGAACCAAACGAATGAAAGAAATCCGCGAAATGGGCGTGTTTGCGAAGAAGTCCGGATTTTTGGAATTCCAGTAATCGGGTAGATATCCGAAAACGAAGATTTACGTGAATATTCTGAATTCGTTCATGAAATATGATCTCTCTGGACTGGTTACGCTGAACTCGGACAACTTCGATAAGATTGTGAATGGGAAGCGGAGTGTGATCGTGATGTTCTATAAGAAGGACTGTTCCACGTGCGACGAAGTCCTGAAGGAATATATATCCTTTTTCAGCGATCATTCAAGTCATGATCACGCATCATCGTCATGTGCCTTAATCATCACAAGGCGGCTGCCGACCGCGGCGTGCTGGGCGCTGTCTTCGCTCGTCTGAACGCGGACGATCATAACTATATTGCGGTGAGAGCGGAGCGATGCAGTGAGAAGTAGAAGCGCTACAATCACCACAAGAATCCGTCCTTTAAGTGGTTCGGAAAGGGAGCAGACAAAGCGGTAGGAATGGAGAGAGGGTGCGATGTAGACACCGGAGGAAGTGCAGATTCAACATACGAAGGATGCATTTTTGTCGTATGTGCGGGATAAGATCGAGGATATTGCTGCGGAGGAGGGAGATGGTGAGGAGGAGTTATAAGTGGTTATTTGTTGTTTGTTGCAGACGGGAGAAGGGATTGAGGGAGGAAGAGTATTTTGTGTTTTCAAGTTGACTACAGAATAAAGGAACTTCTCTTCTAACAATGAACCACCATAGAGTGCTGTAAAACCAACACAGTGTTTTTTATCCAATACTTCAGTTCATCGAGTGATCCAAAACTCTGTCTTGCAAACCTGATGTCCCATAACCCCGAATACTCTCTCTCTTCGGATTTCTCACCTAAAACCAGAGTAACGTGGAACCGCGCAAGTGACCAAAGATAACCGCGGTATCAGCATATGCCTTTTCTCTGGTTTCCTAGATCCCTCATACTTATTTCTCCAAATGCCAGCTGTCCCTTTTTTGTCTTCTCTCATTTCTACCGATGCTCAGCCTAAGCACGATGCTCGTTTCTACAGCACCTGCTTTATGGGAGGCGTTCTCTCTTGCGGAACCACTCACACCGCTATTTGCCCTCTCGATTTGGTCAAGTGCCGTCGCCAGACGAACCCTACTCTGTACAAGAACCTTATGGATGGTCTGAAGCAGATTTCGAAGGAGGGTTGGAATCGTAACGGTCTGTACCGCGGATGGCAGCCTACCTTCTATGGTTATGCCATGCAGGGTTTCTTCAAGTTCGGAGGTTACGAGCTGTTCAAGGATTTCTACATCAACCTGATGGGAGAGGAGAGAGCCAAGAACTACAAGAACACGATCTACCTGGCCGCCTCTGCGTCGGCTGAGTTCTTCGCCGATATCTTCCTGTGCCCGATGGAGGCGACCAAGGTGCGCATCCAGACGAGCCCTGCTGAGATGAACTTCCCCAACAAGCTGATGCCCGCCGTGCGCGAGATCACGGGTCCCGAGGGCGTGAAGGCTCTGTGGAAGGGTCTGGTGCCTCTGTGGTGCCGTCAGATCCCGTACACGATGGTGAAGTTCGCCACGTTCGAGAACATCGTGGGTCTGTTCTATCGCTTCCTGCTGACGAAGCCTCGTGACTCGTACAGCAAGGCGACGCAGCTGACGGTGACGTTCGCTTCGGGTTACATTGCTGGTGTGTTCTGCGCGCTGGTGTCGCATCCGTTCGACTCGTGCGTGTCGAAGATGAACAACTCCGCGGAGAAGATCTCGATGCTGCAGGCGATGAAGATTCTGGGCTGGAAGGGATGCTGGAACGGTCTGGGAACTCGTATTCTGATGATTGGTACGCTCACGGGTCTGCAGTGGTGGATCTACGATACTTGGAAGACTGTGTGCGGCTATCCTTCTTCCGGAGGTCATTAAGTGTTTTTCTTTTTGAATAATAACGTAACTAAATGAATTGCAAGAATTGTTTGTTCGAAAATGGAGGCGGAAGTCGCGAATGTTGGTTGATGGGAAATGGAAATCTGCAGATTCCAGAATCATTGAACATGCCATTGATTCATTAATTCATTCCTTAATGAACCTTGCTCTGTCACCCCGGATCTTTTTGTATAGTCTTTTTGGGAGATGGATATCTCTTCTGAATAAGATATCTTCGTTTCTATTCAATGGAAATGAAATCTCGCATCTAGTTGTGAAGTCGATAACTCCGCTAACGACCATCTTCTTTTGTTGTAAGCATAATATAATCAAGATATTGTGAAGATCTATTCATTCTGGGAGTGGTCGTTTTTGCAGTTTATTGTCTGTGGAACGATAAGATTAGCTATCTAAAATCGATGGACGATCCAACAATTCCTGAATTAGAGACTCTGTCTCCTCTCCAAGTAATGCACAAGACTATTTGAGGTTATTACTAGGTGGCTGCCTACTGCTGCTTTATGACTCGAAGAACAAGTCGATATCTGGGTTATCTCATGAACATCAAAATGTAATTGCACATCTTCTCTTCCACGCTAGTCCGCGCTATTTTCGTCGTCCATTGTACTCTTGCGTATGTCGGTTGTTTCATATAAACACCGACGAGTTCGAGTAGCACCCGCCTTGTTTGCTCCCCTCTAGAGGCCGCTTCGAGGACTACACCAATCCAAATTGCTTTTTCACGCGCACCTTAAAAGAGAATGTATCTCTCTGTCTTTCATTCACACAATCACTCCCAGGCTCGTCACATCCTCCGTCATCCTCTCGTTCTCGTTTCTCCCTGCGACGGCACGGTTTCTTACATGGATTCCGTTCCTCATTCTTGAGTCCTTCTCACATTTCCAGAACCCCATCACCACGCCGCACCTCGAAGTCCATCAAGTCAAAGGCATTCGTTACAGCATGTCTACCTTTCTCGGCTCCTCCATTCCTTATAAGAGTTCTTCTCTTCCCTTTCTCCCTCACGCACAGACGAGCGAAGCCGTCTCTTCACGGTCACGCTCTATCTCTCCCCCTCCGACTATCATCGCGTTCACTCTCCCGCCTTCTTCGCCATCCGCTCCCGCGCGCATTTTCCCGGAAAGCTCCTCCCCGTTAAAAACTTCTTCGCGCAGAACGTCAAGGGGCTCTTCACACTCAACGAGCGCGTCGTTCTGACTGGCAGCTGGCCGCAGGGCTTCTTCTCGCTCGGTCTCGTGGGCGCCTACAACGTCGGATCTATTTCGCTCTCCAATCGCTACGATCGCGATCTTCGAACCAACTGCGCGCATCACACGGCGCCTCGACGCGGATCGGTCTGTTATCGGAAGCATTACCCCGCGGCGGTGGCGTCGGAACCTGGAGATCCGGTGGGAATGTTTCATGTAGGGAAGGGGAGTGGCGTGAAGCGTAGCTGGGATCGACGGTGGTGCTGGCGTTCGAGGCGGGAGAATTCGAGTGGCTGGTGAAGCCAGGAGAGAAGGTGAAGATGGGCCAACCGCTGGGATATGTGCGGTGGACGAAAGAAGTGGAGGAATTAATTGGGGATTATGAAAATGGGTGTTGAAGTGTTTGAGATAGAAATGATTATGAAGGGAGGTGGTTTGAGGTGACTGCGAACAGTTTTTGCGTAGGGAAGGAAATAAAGGTAAAGTGTCGATAATAGAAAGTAGAAATATACGTGACAATCTGAAAATGAGCCAAATAGGTGAGACTATAGAACACATTTTAGGTAAACAGCTTGAAGTTCAAGAGTTTTATGGCTTATAATTGAATCATCTTGTTTTCACATAGAGTATTGGACTCTCGAGAGCGTTTAATTCAACTGGGTTGCATTAATTGAGGTCTTCCATTATATATATTTTGGTATTTTTCTCTCAATATCGATTATTCGAACAACTGAAGTATACAAGACAGTCAAATTTGAGTATTAATGATAATAATAATGGAAAGGATTCACTTGATGACTGAAAAATCAATTAATGAATGGCTAAAGAACAAGAAATTGGAGATTGGAATACATAAAAAGAGCATTAAAAGGCAGTATTAGAAATTTTACAAAAAAAAGTGTGTAAAGTCAATGCTAGATTGATTATTGTTTTTTTAACTTTATACACAAACATACCTAAATTTACTCAGTACTTATACAATACTAGTATGTTGGCCATAGTGCAGGTGCAGGTGTAGGTGCAAATGTAGGTGCAGGTGCAGGTGTAGGTGCAGGTGCAGGAACAAACATAGGTGCAGGCACAGACACAGGCACAGGCACAGGTATAGGTACAGGTGCAGGTGCAGGTGCAGATACAGGTACACCATTTGATATTGAAAATTCATTTTGTAGTATTTTAAAGTTATCGATGAGAATGGAAGAAACATCTATGAATGAAATCAAATCGATCAATCAATACTTGAAATTGATTTCGATTCAACATTTACAAGTAAATAAGGTATATCGATATTCTGGAAATTTGGAATATCTAAATACTATCAATATTTCCATTTAGTAATACTTTCTAATGTTATTGAACGATAATACTTAAAATCAGCTCCATCAGGATCGACAATGGTTGTTAGATTTGGAAGATCTGCAGTCAATCATAACCAATCAATTCATTATTACTTCGCATTGAAAATGAACATGCTTCATTATTATATATTCCTTGAAGTGCATCTTTACCAAGTTCAATGGATTGTAATGATGGAAGATCTACAGATCAATCATTTCATTCGAATTCATTCGATACTCTCGATTATTGTTGATAAAGAATTTGAGAATGTCCAATTTCCTAATGTAATGGATTGTAGATTTGGAAGATCTATGCATCATTCAAATATTCAATATCATGTCAATACCTCGAAGCACAAATGAACTGCAACAGAAATTGAATGAAGCACTTCCAATTGTACCAATTTGAATGGATTGTAATTGTGGACAATTCTTCAATTCAAAGTCTCCTCCAAAATCACTGAAACTATATTCACCAATTTGAATGGATTTCAATGATTCACAATTCAATATGTGGAATGATTTTGCGCGAATATCGAATAATGAAAAACCCTTATACATGTTCTCGTCAATACACTTATCCACATTAGTTTGATGTTCTGTAAATGAATTGCTTCCGATGTTGATAGTTTTCAATCGATTCAATCCATCGATTTTGAATGTTTTCACTAATTCAAAACATTCATCGCCAATTTCGATTGATCGTAGCCGCTTGAATCGATTCAGATCCAGTTCATTCAAATCGTTACAACAATTCGATGAAATTTTCAAATCGGTTACTTGCAAAGCCAATTCACTCACATCTATTGAGCTATTTACTGATACTCGAAGATCAGGAAAAGTATAAAGCACAGGAATCGTGGATGATCTTATACTACAATCCAGTTTGGGATCGTACATTCCATCAGTCAGATCCACTCCACTCACTTCCTTTCCATCTTTCCATTCACATTCTCGAGTTGCCATTCCAGTCTTTTCATCAATCAAGCATCCTTTCCCTTCACGAATAAATCGTTCATTGTCTTCATCATAGCGAAATCCACCCATATAGATCGGAATTCGTTTCGTTGGATCCAAACTATCTGCTCCGTTTCTTATTAATTCTGTCATCGTATCTCCATTGAAACATCGAATCACTTCTTTCAATACTCCTTTGCTCCACATCCCTTCCACAGCCACATTTCCGCTTTCTTCATCGTATTCGATGCCCCAGCCTTCTTTCATTCGTCTTTCGTTGTACCCTCCGTGATACAGCAAATGCCCCGTTCTGGCAGACCAGATTTCCATTCGAAGCCCTTTCTTGTGGTAAACAAAACGTTTACTATCCATTTGTTCCAAAATATACTCGAATCGTTGGGTGAAATCAACTCGACCATTCTTGTATCGAATAAACTCCTCCGATTTCTTCCCATTCTCGTCCTCCTTCCATTCTTGTTTCAGTACGTTATTCTCAAACAGATACATATCACCAGTTTCTGAGCGCAATAGAAATTCGTTCTTGTGCTTTCCCTGGAATCGCTGGAGAGTATACCGAACTCCACTTACTGTCAGAGATTGAGGAAAACCGAGTGTGGCATATCTATCAAGTAGATACTCTGCTCCACAAATTTCTGTCAGACAAGCTATTCATCAGTATTTTACATAGAGAATACATTCTTCCGCCATGGTATAAGGTCAAGTTAAAAATAATATAAAAAAAGGCCAAAAAAAGAAACGCAGGTTGATCATGAATGTATATTACAGTTTATCAAAAAATAATAACAATAATACATTCAAATATGTATAAAGAAACGTTTTGAAATGAAGGTATCACATATTGTTTAATATAGTTACTCTACTTTCGAAATCTACAATATCTATTTGATTCCATACATAATCTATCGAAATTGTATTAAATCTTCACAGAACGAGTATCTTGATTTTGATTGGCTGCACAAAGATTTGGCTGGTTCATATTTTTGCCATTCCAAAAATATGTAGTATTGTATCTTTATATATTAAAATAATGTGAAAGATGTATTTATATTTGTATATATTTTTTTTGGATAGGTCAATTGCTATTGTTTTGTCTATATGGAAGTATGGTTGAGGAGTATGATGAATACTTTATTCTTATAGCAATACATATTTGTATAAAATATTAATAGTTTCCACATATATATACCACAGTGACCTTTTCTGAACCAATCAATAGTTTGTTACCTTAAACTTTACAACAATACTTGAATTTTATATTACTTAAATAAACTATGCAATTTTTGGTGAGGAATTATAAAAGTTTAGCAGCAACTGAGGAAGGTAGCAAATACCTAACATATCAACCAATCCATTTAATGGATATTGCAAACAGTTATTTCATTCAGTAAAGCAGTTTATCAAAACATAACATCTTGGTTTTCTTATATACTTTGTTGTTTCCATGCAAAACATTGCTGATTTTGTCAATTCTGAAATTCGCGAATATTATATTGATAGTTCTATTATTCAAAATGTGCAGGGATGCTTGGGTAAAGAAATGAAACCAAATGGCTGGATTTCACTCATATTGAGTAACAGAGAATGTGTAATATTGCAATTCGATAATGGAATATTCATAAATCAAGGATTTGTGGTCAATGATCAGAAAGTGTTGAAAGTGATTGGAAATCATCAAATTGGTGCTATTTCATATAATGAAGAACAATCCATAGAAGTAGAAGAAGGAATCGTGGATTTGGATCATGGAAGTCGATTTGAAGGCTCGGTATTGACTAATAAAGAAAAAGAAGGTAAAATTGGAATTCCATTTGGATATGGTGAAATGTATGATGATAATGGATTCTTGGTGTACAAGGGCATAATGATCAATTGGAAACGATTTGGATATGGAACGAGTTATCATAATAATGGATGTATTGATTATGAAGGATATTGGTGTGATGATAAGCGATTTGGAATTGGAAAAGTGTATGATCGATATGGTAAATTAGTGAATGAATGTGAATGGTATAATGGTATTGAAAGTGATACTGAATATGAAGGAGATGGAAGCAAACCACTGAATATTGGAATGAAACATTTGAAACTGAGTGACAATTGTGTATTGGTTGATTGGGATGTTTCATTGTTGTATAATTTGGAATCAATCGAAATCGGCGATGAATGTTTTGGATCAGTGCAAACATTCAAAATCGATGGATTGAATCGATTGAAAACTATCAAAATCGGGTACCATTCATTTTCCCAAGAGAATAGCAAGACAAATAATGATAAATCGAAATCATTCCACATATTGAATTGTGAATCATTGAAATCCATTCAAATTGGTGAATACAGTTTCAGTGATTTTGGAGGAGACTTTGAATTGAAGAATTGTCCACAATTACAATTCATTCAAATTGGTACAATTGGAAGTAGTTCATGGAATTTCAGTAATAGTTCATTTGTGCTTCGAGGTATTGATATGATATTGAATATTTGAATAATGCATAGATCTTCCAAATCTACAATCCATTACATTAGGAAATTGGGCATTCTCAAATTCTTTATCAACAATAATCGAGAGTATTGAATAAATTCGAATGAAATGATTGATCTGTAGATCTTCGATCATTACAATCCATTGAACTTGGTCAATTTGCTCTTTGTGGACGCGATAGTGATTCATCGTGTTCGTTGCTAATGCGAAGTAAGAATGAAATGATTAGGCATGATTGAATGTAGATCTTCCAAATTTAACATCTATTAGATCTGTACGAGGATATAGTTTCGAATATCCTCATTCGGTGACATTGGAAAGTATACTGTGATATTTTGTGTACTAACGGTTTTTAGATATTTCAAATCTGGAAAGAGTTAAACTTCCTCGTTCATTTTATGAAGTTATATCGAAATCAATTACAGGTATTGTTTACTTGGTTTCATTCTATTTATAGATGATGTTTCTTCGATTCTCGCTGATCTTGTCATTATCAATAAAAGACATAAATCGTGATTGTGTATCTATTCATATGTCATGAAATGAAGATTAATAGAATGATTGTTTGTGTTTCTATTTGTTTTTGACTTTAATTTCACCACGGATTCCCACTCCTTTTTTAAACATCTTTTTATATTTCATAATCACGCATGAGATCAAAACTCTATCGATCAATAGTGTTTCATACCTTTTTGATATTTGAATAGAGTATTACTTTTCACTAAAGATGCTCATTCCAATCACAGAATGCAAACACACTCTATATTTTCTAAACCTTTCCACACAAACTAGAATCCTTATGAAACAAACAACGATTGTAAACACATTAGTGAACGTCACGCGTCCAACCAGGACAGCTGGTAGCAAGGTCCTGCTCATCATTGTATTCACACCCGCAGTAAATGCAGTAAAAGTACGTGGAACGTAAATACTCAATCATCTTTCGCAGATGCATCGAAAGCACATCGATGTCGCACTCATCATCATCCGCGAGTAGTAATGGATTGCTCGAACGGCCGTGCTTTTCATCCAGCACCTCAATAGCAAACTGGGCTTGGCGGAGATCCCGAATTACACTTTTCTGGTTTTCCCTCTCTTTGACACGTTCAGCGAATTGCTGCTTCCTCATGTTATAGAGCAGCTGGTCTCGGATGATCTTTATATTCCGATTGTAGTTTTCCTCCTCCTTTCTCCTCCTTTCGCTCTCTTCACTGCCAATTCCTTGTTTGTTTGACTTTACCTTTATTTGGATCGGTTCCTTTATTCCATTACCATCTTTACCAAGTCCTCCTCCCTGTTTGAAGCCCATTTTCTCAAGCATTCGCATTCCAAACGAATCCTTCGCAATGGGCTTATTTAATCCAGCTTTTAGACTTTCCTTCTCGTCTACAATAGTGTCCTCTGATATTTCGTTCAGAGAACGCTTTTGTGACAATCGATAACTACTGTCTGTTCGATCACTTTTTCCATCATCTGCATCACGGCTGGATTCACTGGAATCAATAAATGCATCTAACGGATTGTAATCATCCATTATCGAAAAGAAAAGTGATTTTCAATTAACCAATGGACAATACAGCGATTATGGCATTTCGATTCCTAAGGTGTCTGAATCGTTCATTAGCGTAGGAATTTGAAATCCGCTCTTCTCTCCGTACTGTATACGTTCACACCATCAAAACCCGGTCATTTTGTGAAATGACAAATTTCATTATTGAGATGGATGGAAGAAGGCGATCTAGACGAAATGCAGATCGTTCTGCAAAGGCAAGAAGAGACGTATAATTTTCAGCTGTATTAACTCATGTTGTAGTTGGAGGAGGATATGAAGCAAGAATTGCCTGAAGTGAATGTAAATATGGCGTATAATCGTTTTAGACACGAAATGTATACGATATCGTCGATACTGAGGAATACGCTGCAATCGTCGATGAACGGAGAAAAAACGGTCAGTTTGTTGTGGAAGATCGTATGGCCAATACATTAGTATATCTTATTCCAAGGTGGAAAAGGGGGCAAGTACAGCGAGTATTATGATAATGGAGAAGACTATTTGGATATGATCGAAGAAGAGCCTGAAGGTAGGCACATCCAATTCGAGTAATTGTTGTAGAGCTCCTCTATCAGGACGGTGAGTTGAGCAAAAAGTACCTCAAGAAAGGAGAAAAACTAGCAAAAGAGAATTTGGGAGCTGTGAAAGGTCGAATTGACAAGGCCTTTTTCAGTAAAACCAAGTCTGCATCGCAGGAGCACAAGCCAACAAATAAAAGTGTGATCGATACTGCGAAAATGGACGATTTTCTCAAATTCAGCGATGAAGAAGAAGAAGAGAACGAAAAATCCGTTCCTACCCACCCACCAACCAACACTCGATCTTCCTCCAAACGTCCCTCATTCTCAACTTCTTTCTCTTCCAAGAAAATCGAAACCCAATCTCCTGCTTTGGAAGCGAGTCCTTCTTGGAGTCTCGCTGACTCCCATTCTCCAGAACGTCCTTCCAATCCAGCCAGCGCCATCCACGAAGCAGAATTCGAGTCTCCGAAACAAACAGGACGCAATTTAATGAATGAATACGAAAAGAACGTGATTCCTCCCAAGGAAATCTCGCTGAACGAGGACGAAATGCTGCAAATGCTCGCCGAAGCGGAGGCCAACGAAGCCAACGAAGCCAACGAAGCCAACGAGCTCACGGAAACGGAGATCTCGCAGTTGTTAGAAATGGACATCGAGGGAGGCGCTTCGACAGCCACGAACCCCGCCCCACTCACGAACGCACAACCACAACCACAACCACAAACCAAACCAAAAGTCACGATTCAGAGCACCGAAAACGAAGAGGACTTCGACTCGTTGATCGAAGAGATCAATGAAGGTTGGCGCAATCACTCACCCACCATCCATAGAGTTCAATCGCAGCGAATACGGCTCGCAGCACTTCGCCAACCCCACAACCGGCGAAGTCAAAATCGAGAACGACCGCATTCAATTCTTCTTGACAGATCTCTACGAAGACAATCTTCTCGCTCCCGGAAAGCTCTATCTCTTCGGGCGAATCCCAGCCACGACGGGGTTCAGCAGCGTCTGCGTCATCGTGGAGGACGTTCCGCATCATTTGTTCATTCTCCCCGCGAAAAAGTCGGAAGAATCGCGGGTACCCATCAAGGAGGTGCAAGAGGAAGTGCTGGCGATTCTCAGCAAGGCCGGAGTGGATATGAAAAGCGTGATGATGCGGAGTGAGACAAAGAAATACGCGTTCGAAATCGAGGGCATTCCCGATGAAGTAGGATGAAGCGTCCTGAATCGAGAGATAGACGTCGTATCTGCACGTGATTTATCCCGGGCGATTCCCCGTGCTTTTCGAGAACAAAGGGCGAACCTATGATCACGTATTTGGCCGAACGGCCTCGTAGAATCGATGTGTGAGTGTGAGGCGTAGCGCTTTGGAGACGTTCGTTCTGGAGTGCCATGTGAAAGGTCCGCAGTGGCTGGAGATCCGCAACATCCAAACGCGCACCGCCAAAATCTCCACATGCCAGTGCGAGTTCGTTCTTCCTTCCCTCGGCAAAAACATTTCCATTCTGCCGACTTCTTCGCTGCCTCCGCTCCGCGTCGTGTCGTTTTCTCTCGCCACCTTCACGCCTCCCAACAGCAACCACGCAGAGATCTATTCAGCCGCAGCGATGGTGTACGACGGCGTCAAAGTCGACCAGGCCACCGACGCCAAGAACCAATCTCCCGCCACTTCCTGCTGCGTACCGCTTCGAAGAAGCCGCTTCTCATTGCGTAGTGGATTCGCCCTGTCAAGCAGTATCCTCTCCAGTTCGCAAAGACCCTCGAAGCGAATCGACTGCGGCCTGTTCAGGTGCGAACCGAAGCAGAGCTCGTCCATTCCTTGCTGAAATACGTCAACACGATGGATCCCGATCTCGTGGTCGGCCACAACATCACCGGCGACGATTTGTTCATGCTCCAGTCCAGCTTCCTTCGGCACAAACTCTCCTGGTGGGAGATGGGACGTCTGCGCTATAAACAGCCGCCTCGGCAGTTCCCGCCCAACGAAGTCGCGATGAAACTTCTCTCAGGACGATTGGTGGTGGACACCTACACGTCCGCGAAGGAGTTGATTCACGAAGACAATTACTCGCTGCCCGCCTTGGCCGCGAAGTACACGTCCATCCGGCTTCGCGAGCTGAATAATTTCTCAGGAGATGTGCTGTACTCGAACGCCACGCGGCTCTGCACGGCCATCCAATCGAATTTGATCGCGGCCAACGCAGCGGCGCAGCTGATGTTCAGCCTGCTGATCATTCCTCTGTCGCACCAAATCTCGTGCATTTCGGGACTTCCGTGGGGGCGGTGTCTGCGATCCAATCGAAGCGAGCGCGTGGAGTATTATCTACTGCACGGGTTCCGGCAGAAGAACTTCATCACGCCGGATAAGCAAAGGAAAGTGAAGCAGCAGAAGCGGAAGTCGAAGTACGAAGGCGGGTTGGTGCTGGAGCCGAAGGCGGATTTGTACGAGGATTTCGTGCTGGTGCTGGACTTTAACTCGCTGTATCCGTCGATTATCCAGGAGTACAATTTGTGTTATACGACGGTGAAGCGAGAGAAGAAGGAGGAGGAGAACGAGAACGAAAAAGAGAACGAAAAAGAAAAAGAGAAGGAGGAACGAAAGGAAGTGGAAAAAGAAGAAGGCGAGGATGAAGATGGCGATCTCGTTGTTTCCGACTCTTCTAACCTCACACGTGAGTTTCCTTGTTTCCACTGATCGAATAGTGCCGGAGCTTCCGCAGACCGTAGAAGAGAACGAGCTCGCGCCGCTTCCGAGCGTATTTTGTTCGTCCAATCAAATCACGCGTAGCTGATTCGGTATTTGGTGACCAAACGACGCGAAGTGAAAGGACTGATGAAGAAAGAAAGCAATCCGTTGAAGCGAAAACAGCTCGACATTCGGCAGTTGGCCCTCAAGATTCTGGCCAACTCGATGTACGGCTGTCTGGGCTTCACGAACAGTCGCTTCTGTGCGACGGCGATCGCATCGACTGTGACGCGCGTGGTAAAAAAAGCGAATGAAATTGAATGATAGGGACGTTATATTCTGCAGAATACGCGATTGTTGGCTGAGAAAGAAGGGTATTCTGTGATCTATGGAGACACAGATTCCATTATGATCAACACGGCCACACGTGATTACCAACAGTAGAAACGTGGAAACGTGGAATGACGGATAGAACGATGGAGATTGGTCGTGAGTTGAAGAATAAGATCAATAAGAAGTATAAATATCTGCAGATCGATATCGATTACGTCTTCCAGAAGATGCTTTTGCTCAAAAAGAAGAAATACGCCGCCGTCAAAGTGATTTCCGTCGAGGGAACGCGCCTCACCACGCAGCGAGAAACGCGTGGAATCGATTTGGTGCGACGCGACTGGTCGATTCTCACCAAGGACGCGGGCAGCAAGCTGCTGGATATTCTTTTCTCGGAGGAATCGCGCGATGAATTCGCGGATCAGTTCGGTCGGTATCTCACGGATCTCGCTGCCAGCATGCGGAACAATCTCGTGCCATACGAGAAATACGAGATCACGATGTCGCTCACGCGGTCGCTCGCCGATTACAGGGAACGCGATATCAGCTCGCTGCCACACGTCGTCGTGGCGCAGCGCCTCAGCGAACATCACACGGTGAATATATCAAACACAACGATCGATGCATTAATTTGATTCAATGAGATTCATTGAAATAGAAATAGAATTGATTTAGTGAGTTTTTTTTGAAATAGATAGTTGATTCATTTGATTCAATTGATTCATTTGATTCTTTTATTCATTGAGATTCATTGAAATTCATTCATTCATTCATTCAATTGATTCATTAATTCATTCGTTCGTTTCCTTCACACACGCCGGCGATTTCATTCGCTACGTCATTTGCTACCCCCCCAACGCCTCTTCCTCCCCTTCGCTCGGCTCCCAGGCCTTCACCGTCGCCGAGATCCGCAATTCCAACGGCGCCTTGAAGCCAGACGTCGATTGGTACCTTCGCAACCAGCTTCTCCCCACGCTCTCCCGTCTCATCGCCCCGCTAAAGGACATCCCGCCATCCTTCCTGTCGCACTGTCTCGGACTGCCCTTCCAGCCCGCGTTTTCGAGCGAATTCGGCGCCGAAGACCGCGGGAAAGTCTCGTTTGTGTTCCGAACCATGGCGGAACGCGAAGACTACGCGGTGCTGTACGAGCAGACCGATGCCATTCGAATCAAATGCGAGAAATGCGGTAAGGAAAGGGAACTGGATGTCTTGGGAGTGCGGAATGAACATGGATCGGCGATCTGTCCGGTGAGGGGCGAAAATGGTGTGGAATGTAGTGCGGATGCGGCTATTCACGAAATAACATCGCGAACTGCGTTCTCTTGTATGCACGACGAGCCATTATGAACACGCTGAAAAGCAAATACCGTTGTTCGGAAATGACTTGCTCGCTCACCTCAAATCGAGTGGTGCGAAATGAAAATCGGTATGAGTTGTAGAGCTTGAAGGATGATCATTGCGAAAACGCTTGGTGCGATGGCATGATGAGGAGAGAATTCCCGGTTTCAAAGTGCTATTTAGAGCTCTGCTACGCGATTGCAGTGCTGAAGTTCCTCGATTTGATATCTGTAAAGGAGCGCGTGGAGAAACTGAAGAAGCGGTTGAGATACACCTACATCCAACTGAATATATTTAAGTAAATCATGAGGTTTTAGTGTCTTGTTTGTTTATTTGAATATCCCAAGGTGCCTTGATTATAAACGAAGTATGTGAATCACTATACTTGTGTTCCAAAAATCCTATTTAGGCGATGGACTCGAATATGGATAAGTGGATAGAGAAGTTAAGGCAAAAGATACCATTGGAGGAAGATGAGCTCGTAAAATTGTGCCATATAGTGAGAGATATACTTATTCAAGAGTCGAATGTTGTTGTATGTTGAATGGATGCTGCTTCACTGTTTTAGCGTGTTTCCACTCCCGTAACTGTCTGTGGAGATATTCATGGCCAATACTATGATTTAATGAAACTATTTCGTATTGGTGGTGACGTTCCAGATACAAAATATATATTTATGGGCGATTATGTCGATCGTGGGTATTTTAGTGTGGAGACCATAGAGCTGCTTCTGTGCTTAAAGGCGCGTTATCCAGACCGAATCACATTACTCCGTGGAAACCACGAAGGAAGACAAATCACGCAGGTGTATGGTTTCTATGATGAATGTCTTTTGAAATACGGAACTGTAAATGCATGGAAATATCTGTCCGATGTTTTTGACTATTTGAGCATTGCCGCTCTCATTGATAACCGCGTCATGTGTGTTCATGGCGGTCTATCCCCTTTTGTTCGAACCATCGACCGGATCGACACGATCTATCGTTTCCAGGAAATCCCAAACGAAGGACTCTACGCCGATCTCGTCTGGTCCGACCCTGAACAAGACATAGAGGGGTAGCCCCCATTTTTCCACCTGTGACGTAGTTTTCGCAGAAACTTCCGAGGAGCTGGCTGGGTGTTCGGAGAGGATGTTTCTCTCGAGTTCAACAAGGTAAACGGCTTAGATCTCGTATGTCGCGCCCATCAAATCGCGATGGAGGGGTATCAGTACTTCTTCCAGCAAGCTGTGTGTACTGTACGGAGTCGACGGGAGTGTGCGATTGTAGGTGTGGTCGGCGCCCAACTATTGCTATCGGTCAGGAAATTTGGCGTCGATTTTGCAACTGGACGAGCACTTGAATCGCGAGTTTGAGGTGTTTAACGAGGAGGATGCGGAGAATCGGACGGTTCCCACCAGCCAGTGTGTACGTTATTCGCTTTATGGGTGTTTGTTGAGATTTAATGAGGGAAAAGAAACGATGAGTTGAAAAGCTCTTGTGTAGTGCAAGGGACTGACTGCCTTTCTCTTACAGAAAACTCGGAATACGATACTGCATAGTGGGTTGCACCGAGTGTTTGCTGAAATAGAAAGAGTTCTGCCTCAAGAACATCATTCTTTTCACTGATAATGAGTAATTGTTGAAAAATCGATTGATTACATAGACGCAGAGACAACTCTAGAACGTGCAAGGTTTCTGAGCAAGGAAAACCCGAATGAATCAGTTACTCTGTATCGCAGCATTCTGGATATGAAAAATGAGGAGGAGGAGACCCTCAAGATTAAAGAGACTTGCACATTTGAACTTGCAGAATTGTTCGGCGAATTGAAAGACATCAACTCGTTATCGAATTTGTTGGAGTCTTCGCGCGACTTCTTCATCTCGATTTCCAAGGCAAAGGCGTCTAAAATCAGTTGGTTGTCTTGCTGTCCATTGAGTCCTAGTGAAGTCGATAATCGAGATTGCGATTAAAATGGATGTTCCTACACAAGAAAAAATCGAGATGTGTGAACGCAATATCAAATGGTGTCAAGAATCAAAGCAAGTCTTTTTGGCGCAGAGATTGAACTGCCGTCTTGCCTATCTTCTTTATCTTGTATTTTCTAAATATCAAATTGGTCATTTTCAGGACAAGCAATATCGTCGAGCATTAACTCTCTGCGGCCATCTCATCCGCGAACTGGCCAAGATCGACGACAAATCCCTGATTATGGAAGTCCACATCACCGAAGCACGCATCTACAAAGACCTCAACGACATCACCCGCGCCAAGGTTCTCCCCAGTTTCCCCGTTTCTCTTTTAGTCTTCCCTCACCGCCTGCAAAATGACCGCGTCCTCGATCTACGTAGACGCTCCCACGCAAGCCGACATCGACATTCTCTCCGGCGTCATTTACGTGAATTCCAGAAATCGGGACTATTTCGTAGAGCTATCAGCGCGATTTCCAAATGGCGTTTTCGTTCTTCTACGAAGCGTTCGACGCGTTTACGCAGCTGAAGGACGATCGCGCGATGTCCGCGTTGAAGTACATGATTCTCATGCGAATTTTGGCCGGAAAAGTGGAATTCCAAAAATCGGGGTGATTTTTAGAAACAAGAAATGCAGGCTATTTTTGGCAATCATGTGGTGGTGGAGAATTGGAACAAGGAAATCGCGGTTTTGAAGGAGATTTCGGACGCGTTTTTAAGCAGCGATTTGAGCAGTCTGACGCGCATTCTTCAAGAAATATCCACTTTTTTTGTCACGGTGACTTAACGGCAATTCCCGTGGTTCTTCGAGGACGAGGTTCTCCGTTTCCACATCGATTATCTTCGCAATGAGCTGATGGAGCGGAACTTTTTGAAGGTGGTGGAGCCGTTCGACGTGGTTGAAATCGCGTTCGTGGCGCAGAAAATGAAGTTGCCGCAGGAGGAAGTGGGAGTGATCGGGGTTTAGGATGTAGATTGTGCGGAAATTGTCGCAGATGATTCTGGATAAGAAGCTGACGGCGTCGTTGGATCAGGAGAAGGGATTGTTGATTATGCTGCCGGAGAGTACGGAGCATAAGATCGCGGAGGATGCGATTGAAGCGATTGATATGATGACGGAGGTGGTGGATGTGCTGAAGACTCGGGCGGAAGCGTACAATGCGAAGTTGCAGGAGTTGTGGAGTGTTTGTTTGAATCACAGTTTCGAGTGAGTGAGTGAGTGAATGAGTGAATGAGTGAATGAATCAATGAATCAATGAGTGAATGAATCAATGAATCAATGAGTGAATGAATCAATGAATCAATGAATCAATGAATCAATGATTTCATACTGAAATCCTGCAAGATCGAGACAACGAAGCATGGTATCATGGATCAACTATCATCGTCGTTCTTCTTTCTTTCTTTTTTTCTGTTTTAAAATTCCACCAAACTTTCATAAATTAAAACAAACAATCTGAAACGATTAATTATACAAAAGAAGCGATAAAACAGCCAGGGCAGAGAGACTGACAGTTATCTTGGCTGAAGATCCACTGTCAGCGTCCTCGGCAACCCACTCGAAATTACTGCAGAATAACAGTAATTCGTCATTGTCCATAATACGAAGGCTCCTGTTTCATCACTCCCATTCCTCAACGTTTTACTTAGATACCATGGAAATTGGCATGTCATATTCCTTAGTCCCTGTTAGTTCGCCTGTGGATCTGGATGTCCATCCCACTTCGTAACTCTCGGTGCGCAACTTGTTGCTCGGCTCAACGTCGACTTCAGGGCACGCCAGCTGCGAAATCTCAATGATGTGACACTGTTCTGGATATTCCTAGGTTGCAAAGATGAGGCATTTCTACGGTGCAGATAGTAGTATTCTCAGTGACGTTAAGAGACTGGCAGAGGAAGACATCCAGGGTGAATAACGTAGTGTTGTTGTCAATCACGATGAGGTAGGTATTATTCTCAACAGGGTTCATCTGAACAGATGTATAATTGATCCATCCACCGATCGGCTGCGAAACATAGACTATCTCCTCCGAACGAACCAACATGAGAGAAATCAAGAGAGGAATCGTAAAAGCTATCATTTTAAGTAAGAAAGATAAAAAGTGACTATTGGGAAAGTTAATCCCGTCGAAACAATCCGAAGGGATTGACATTCACTCAAATGGATCTATATCCATCCAGCCATCAATTCTTGCGATTTCAAGCAAACATATAGATTGATATAAATAGAATTACTTGTACTTCTCACTCAGTTCCTCCCAATCGATATCCTTCAACGACCGCTCATCCAACAATTCCCAATACTTCTTCTTCACCATCTCCGCGAACTCCTGGTTCTGAAACAGATCCGCCATGCGGAACATCGGGATCTGGTAATCGAGCGTTGCTCCATGCGAAGCCATCACATTCTCCTTCACAGCCTGATATTGACTTTCCTCCTCTTTCAATTTGATGCGATTCACCAACTCCCCATCACTGAGCATGAACATGTGGACCAGCGACATCGTTCGATACAACTGTATAAACTTCTTGTTCTCCTTCGTGTTCTCTCGTTTCCCCAAAATCGGCTTCTTCCCCTCCATTACACGCTTCGCGTTCTCGCCAGACAGCGTCTCGTACTTCAGTAGCGACTTCGCCAGGCGAAGTAATTTCCGCTTGTTCTGCTTCACCACCTTCTGCACATGCTGATAGCGTTCTTCCAAGAGCTTCTCCACCGCTTGGTCGTTCGCTGCGATTGTTTCCTCGCTGTAGAAACGGAGATTCGGTTCGTGCTCGTCCGATTCCGGAGCTTCCGAGCGAAGTCCGCACTATGCATCAAATCCGCAGCGAGGAAGCACGTCGGTGAGTCCATAATTGTACACCATCGCGAGAACAATGCGTGTGGCCTTCTCGAGATCGTTCGATGCGCCGGTCGTGACTTCCTTCTTTCTAGGAGTCACAAAAACCCGATCAATCCGCACCCAAACACAACTTCTTCCGCTACGCGACCCGCCAACGCGACGTCGATCCGATTGATCAAATCCTGTTTCGTGACGTTGTACAGAACCGACTCGTCCGCCAGATTCGACACATATCCCAGTGCGTTTCCCCGCGGTAAAATCGTGACTTTATCGACTTTGGGGTAATCGGGCGTGAGGAAAGACAGCAATGCGTGGCCCGATTCGTGCACTCTACACACCTCACTCCCCAACACGGCACGCTACGCAGTGTTCCAATTCACCAAATCACTCTTGATTTTCTGCTTCTTCACACCCATCAAAACCCGATCACGGCTCTGATCCAAATCATCCCACGTGATCTGGAACCGCCCATCGGCCAGCACGCGCATCGCTGTGATTCGGAGCAGCGTGTCGATCTCTGCGCCGCTGCAACCGACCAGCTGCGTGGCCAGTCGCTCCAAATCCACATCAGACGCAAACAGCATTTTCCGCGTCTTCATTTGAATCAGCTTCAGTCGATCTTCGAACTTGGGAAGCGTGGCTTGGCGTCATTTCACGGTCTCCTCCCCTACTTTGGATCTTCACATCGAAGCGCCCGGCGCGGGTCAAAGCGGGGTCCAGCTGCTCGGCGAAGTTCGTCGCCGCCATCACCAGAATGCCCTCATTCCCGTGGAACCCTCCGATCTCGTTGAGCAGCTGATTCACGGTCTGGTAGGAACTGCCCGAGCCGAAGTTCAGCGTGCTGCGATTCTCGAGAGAGTCGATTTCGTCGATGAAGATGATACAGGGCGCCTACTCGCGAGTCCTTTCGTTTAGGTACCGATCGCCGGGCCACATTAAAGAGTTCGCGGACGCGCCTCGCTCCCATGCCCACGAAAATGTCTTCAAACTCGGAGGCTGACACGAAGAAGAAGGGAACGCCCGCTTCGCCGGCGACGGCTCGCGCCATGAGGGTTTTGCCGGTGCCCGGAGGCCCGGTGAGAAGCACGCCGTGCGGCGCGGTGGCTCCCAAAGAGCTGAAAGCAGAGGGATCCTGGGAGGAAAGGGAGGAGAAAAAGGGGTACGCGGAGATAGTTGACGATGATTTTGAGCTCTTCGATGTTGTCTTCGATACCGACCACGTCGCTAAAACGGGTAGTGATGTTGGTTTCGGGCTCGTTCTAAGGATGGAAGGGGAAACGAAAGGGGAAACGCGCTTGTCGGTAGGGAGGTAATTGGTTTCTTTTCTCTTGAGGATATTTCGCACTGCGAGTGAAGGAGAGGATCAAGGAAATACTCAAGTAAATAAAAAGTATAGAGGACAGGATGATCGCAAACCAGTTTCGCACCACGATTTTCCTGGGAGGAGGAACATAAGCTTCGAGAAGGCCACTCAAAACGGAGGGATCCAGAACGTTGGAAAGACCTGGCCTTCTCACCTTGTCCAGGAGATCGAAGATTTGGGATGGAGTCAGTCGGTGGAACAGGTCCATGTGAACTAAAGAGGCGAGAGCCAAGTGGTGAAAGTTGGAATCGACTGGTTCCTCGATTGACTTGTACAAGTTAATCACGTTGTAGAAGTCATAGTTCAGAAAGGCGTTCTGGCATCGAAAAATGAGGAAAAGCACTTACACCCATTTTCTGGTATGTTAAACACAAATCGTTCGAGTAGCCAAAAACTCTGCGCATATTATTCAGAATAGATCTGCCGGTTAGCTTGGAACCTAGTGTTTCCACATCTTTTTTAAACCCATCGTATAATTCTACAATAAAGAAAATAAACTAGAATTACCAGCGGCACTTTGTACCGGATATTGATCCATACCAAAAAGTATAGTGTTTGGTACTCTGTGTCTTATTATATAGTCATTCTATAAAGAATAAGATATCCAACAGCCAAAACTACAGGAAACCCGTAACGCGCTCTATTAAAGAACCGATTTATATTGAACACAACAGAAAAACGTCGAGCTAACTGATGTAGCCCGGACGTTGTCTTTCGGAGCATGAAATATGTAACAAAATGAAAGAAACAAAATAGAATCAACAATGTGGGATCCCATGATCAGTATTTATTTTTAACTGGTGAATTAAACACACTAAAGAGTTTCACCCCTCGTTATTCTGAATGAGTCTATCTCGCTCAAAGAACAAAATGTATAGAACGGGTGTTGTTCGTCAGGCGTAGTTGCTTTTATCAGCAAGGCAATTTTTTCATACTATATGGAGGATATGGAAGCCATCGCTTCACTCTTTCTCTGGGTCCAGATAGGTGTGTCCTATTGTCATTTTCGTTGATCCTAGATATGTATTCCTCGCTTTCTGGTTATTTTGCGTTGTGATGATCATGATTTCTACAAAGTACAGCGAACTTTCTTCCAAATCTCTGCTTTATCAAGGAGTCTTTTATTCACTCGCTTTCATTACTGTGGCAAGCTACCTTTACACTGGGATTTGCGATGCAGGAGTGATAACACCCAACGAAGACAATGCTATCGAGAATGCGGATCAGCTCGAAAAGCTCTCTTATAGTTATTGCACCGTTTGCAAGCTATTTCGTCCTCCAAAAGCAGCTCATTGCTCTCGATGTGGAGTGTGCTTTCGAAATATGGACCATCATTGTGTATATATGGGGTAGCTGTCATAACGGAGGTATAATATGTAGTCAATGCGTGGCCCAGAACAATAGGGTGTCATTTTACGTTTTTATTAGTCTTATCTTTATACTGGAGATGATGCTCCTCGATTTCAAGGCTTCGTTTATATATACACAGTTTTGGCCTTTGAAATTATTGCATAAACTATTCTCTCCAATTCTAAGTAAACTGTAACTCTATTTGTGTCACCTATTTCTATTTTTTACTTGTTTGTTTACAATATTTTCACAACAAGCCATCGATTTTCCTTGCGCAGTAATGATTAAGCAGATTACTTCCAAGCTTCATCATTCCAGCAAAAAAAAAAAAATATATATATATATATATATATTCCGATGAACCTGCCCACAACTCTACTTCTCTCCACCACAATCAACCCTCCACCATCTCTTCCTCTCTCTCCAACAAACAATGCAACAACACACTCCACAGCTTAGTTACTCAAAATGCTGTTCACAGCCATCCGCATGTCGGGCTCCAGTCCGTTCAGCAATCCATTCAGCTGTCGTCTGTCCAAACTCTTCAGAATCTTCATAATCTCCATCTTCGTCTCGTCATACGTGATTTCATACTCATTATCTCCGTCATCATACGTCGGCAGCAGCATCATCGGCAATGCCTGCATCACCGCATCCATCACGTTTTTATTGTTGAACAGTCCGTGGTTCGGCTTCTCCAGCTCCATCACCACGCGCTCGTGCACGTCCTGCGCCTCCGCCACGTCCTCCATCAGCGGCAAGTGGCTCACAAACAGCTGCAGCGCCTGATCGGCCTGGGAAGGTCCGAGATTGCCGGGACAGCCGAGCAGCAGCGAGAAGATCGCCGACAGCGCGTTGTCCGTCGCGCTCGCGTACTTCTCGTCCTCCGCCTCCTGGCTCTGCGCCACGCGGAGCAGCGCGGAGAGAATGGCCTGCGCCTGCGGCGCCACGACGGCGTTGAAGCGCTCGATGGCGACCTTGACGCCGAAGAGAACGGCCTGGCGGAGCGCGGGGTCCTCGCAGTGCATGTGCTGGTGGAAGAAGCCGAGGAGGTCGTTGACGACGGGGGCGACGACGTCGGGCGCGTAGAGCATGAGGTCGTCCATGCTGCAGACGCCGACGAAGAGGATGTACTCGAAGGGAGACGCCATGTACTTGGCGCAGAAGGGAGAGATGTATTGCTGGTAGAGCGGCGCGATCGAGTTGCCCGCGAAGCGGATGATGTAGCCCAGCGCGTCCAGGAGGTTCTCCACGCAGTCCTTCTCCTCGCCGGCCTCTTCTTCGAACTCGTTGCGCGCGTCCTCCATCTCGCGGTCCTCGAAATCCACCTCTTTGTACATCGCCTCCAAGATCTCCACGGACTCCTTCAGGAACTCGAGGAGGTTTTCCACCACAGAGGGCAGCGAGTCGGAGGGAATCGGCATGCGCTGGTTCTGGAACATGTGATGGCTCTCATCGCCGCTCTCATAGCACGTCTACGATTCGAGAGGTCGCTGTGGGGCTACGCAGAAAATGTCGCGGAGCGATTCAGCGATGCAGCTTCGCTCCGTCGCGGCGTCTTCGGCCGTGTACTGCTCGATCAGCATCTTCACGGTCTCGTTGTAGAGATCCAGGCACTGCTGCGCCGTGGTCTGGTTGTTGCGCAGGCCGTTCACCAGCAGCGTGAAGAGCTTGGGGAGAATGCGGGCGCAGAGGTTGCGGACCTCCTCGTGCCACGTGAAATCGACGAGGGGCGAAATGGCGGCGAACACATCGCCAACGTGGGGAATGAAGGAACCAAAAGGACGGGGTGAGTCAAAGAATGGGAGTTGGAATGAGTCAAAGAATGGGAGTTCGAATGAATATAACAAAGGGGAATCCCAATGAATTCAAAGAATGGAAATCTCAATGAATTCAAAAACTAAAAACTCCAATGAAAACACACAGGAATCAAATGAACTCACTTCCCAATTCCAATCCGAATTCAACTCTCACTTCAATGAACTCACACAATCACAACAACACTTAAAGGATATGAATGGAAGCATCATGCTATCCGCATCAATAATCAGATTGTGAATCAAACGCACCGCATTGGACACCACCTCGATCGCCGTCGTGTTGATCGACATCTGCACCTTGCCCATGTTCTTCGTGTCCATCGTCAATCGCTCCACGCCATTCTCGTTCTGGTACTCGGGACCCGCCACCACCTGCTTCAGCGAATAGTCCACGTTCGTCTTGGTCAGCTCGATCAGCTTCGGAATCATCACCACGAGGAACTGCTGCTTGTTCTCCGTCTCGCAGTACTGGAAGATCTCCGCCATGCAGTCCAGCAGACCGTTCATCAGCTCGTCTCCGCTCGAGTAGTTGTTCACCTGGTTCATCAGGAACTGCATGATCTCCCAGGCCTCGCTCTTGTTCACCACGTCCTTCATCGACGCCACCAGCGACGCTACTTCGCACGCTCTCCCCTGTGTCCTACACAAGCACACGCACGCCGCCACGTGCACGTTCATCGTCTCCGTCGTCGCCGCCGAGCCCAGAATGCCGAGCAAGCCCTGAATGATGGTGTGGAAGTATGGCGCGAAGTCCTCCTTCGTCGCTCTGCACAGATTGCCGATCGCAGAGATCGCCTCCGACTGCACCGACGGCATGCTGCGCGTCAGCCCCACCCCGCACCGCTACTTCACCGAGCACAGACTGTACATCCACTGCGTCAGCGGCTCCAGCACGTTCTTGAAGATCTTCTTGCTGATCATCTCGCACGAGCAGAACTGTCCCACGCAGGACGCCGCGATCGCCTGCACGCGCAGGCACGGGTTCTTCTGCACCAGCTGCAGCACGCTCTGCAGCACCTGCGCGCCGCACTTCTTCTGGAACGTCACCGGCAGCGCCACCGACACGTAAGCGATCGCCTGCAGCGCCACGAACACAACGCGCGGATGCGCTACGCGTCAATCTCGCCCAACACCCCGACCGTCGTTCAGTCCGTTCAGCATCATCGTCGTAATCCACGGCAGATTCGCCTCCACCTGCTTCTTGCAGCCGTCCGCGATGTGGCAGATCAGCACGTACGTCGCGCGGCGGATCTTCCAGTTCTCCGACCGGCTGCACTGCGTCATCAGCTGCGTGGCGGGCTTGTACGCCGCGGCGTGCAGCGCGTCCGCGAGGTTGGCCACCATCTACCTCGCATTTCCTCTCGACTCCTACCATAATTCCGGCCACATGGGGACTGCTGTTGTCCTCCGAGAGCTCGTCCTCGTCGCCGAACACGCCCTGCTCCCAGGACGCGTCGTCGCTGATGTCGCTGATCATCTGCACGGCGATCTCCAGGTACTTCGTGATCGCGCCTGCGTTCTTCCGGAAGAATCCGCCGTTCTCCTCCGCGATCGACGACACGATGTTCGCCGCCAGCGACCGCGTTCCCGTGAAGAACGACTCGTTCCCGGCTATTCGTTACGCGGCCACAGCGAGTCTACCGATCGCCAGACACATCTCCACGATCGGACCCACCAGCTGCCGAGCAAAGTCGCAGATCACGCTAGGCGTCACACGGACCGCGCTGCTCCCACCTCGCACAATTCACCAGGTCCTCCAGCAGCGACTGCAGCGAATCTTCATCCTGCGCGTTCAGCACCAGCTGCACCGTGTTGATCACCGCGGGGAGAGCGCTGACGAACGTGGAAACCACGTTCTCGACCTCCATTTCGGTCATGATCTTCATCGTCGTCTGTTGGTCAGCACGGATCAGCAAGGACATACGCGGGCCGCAGCGACTTGGAAGGCGAGATTCGAACTCTGCAGCGAGCCGCTCAGAATGGAGACGATCTCCGTGATGTGCTCAGCGACGAGCTTTGCTTGAGGCGAAACTTCGAAGGTACGGATTCGTTGCTTTCGCTCAGCTCGCCGAGGAGGTACAGGCCTTCCACGCGGACTTCGGATTCCTGGGAGCAGGCAGAGAGAACGAAGGGGAACAATGCCGGCCACTCGGGCTCCAGACTGCTCACTTGGGAAATTAGGTCACAGAGATTGTGGCGAACGCGACCATCGTTCTCCACTTGGAACAACTGGGGTAGGAAGGATAAAACTAGGGAGAATAACAGAGGAAGCAATACTTTGGCCTTTCTTCTGGTCATCGAGCTGGCTCCAAGCTTTCTGTGTAACTACCTTGCGAAGAATGACAACAACGAACGATTTCACCGAGGAATCCGTGGTGGAGGAAATAATATTAAAGAACTGGTCAATCACCTGTACGTGAGACAAAAAAGAATGCGTAAAACATTCAGAACGTCCTCATTCAGCAACTTGTCAAGATGTGCCTCAGCCTAGGTGGAATGAACTCCGATAGGTTGTACATTATCACGGACTGCATTATCAGGAGACCGAAGAGCATTGATGAACTCAGCAAACTCAGGAGTACTATCGATAACAACAATAGGAGTGGATCAAAATACACAGAATTCGAAGACATCGCTAAAAGAAGGAGTAATAATGATTTGATGGTAAGGAGAACGGCATAAATCGGCGGTATTTCTGGAATTCAGAAAGAACCAAAGATTTTAGAGAGAAATAGATTATGCGATTTGGGGTGTATGATAGAGTTTATCGCAGTAGTAGTAGTAATAGTGGTAATACTATAAGAAGGATTCCAGCATATTACCTGGGAGAAAACACAAAAAGAATAGGAAAGTGTTTGCAAACACTCAATACTGGGAAGAAAAGAGAGAATGGATAGGACGATAAAGGAACATGATTGTAGAGTGTGAAAAGGTGAAAGGTTGACGAATGCTGCCTGTGCTGTAGACCTTTTGGTTTTGAAAGTGGTACTCGTGCATCTACAGCGAGAAAGTGAATATTTTTAATAAAAATAGGGTCTGTTTGCTATCAATTGATACACGTTCAACAGATTAGGAAAAATCTAAATCAGCAGATAATATGGAGAAGAAACAGGGATATTTCACAAATAATGCTTCCATTGCGTAAAGTATTGTTGAATAATGGGTAGCAAACATATTTTTGGATTAGATACATAAAATGAATTTGAAAAATAAACTAATTGCATTCCTATGACCTAACAAACCTTACTGAGCTTGTTGGAAATATGAGTATAAAGCAATCTGTAATAGTATCGCAATAAGAATGTTTTTCATATAATAGACTGTTGTCTTGTGTGTATGCTGAATGTATTAGAAGATGTATCTATGTGAATGGAATTAATTGTGTGTATTAAAACTGATATGGCGTAATGCCAGTATTGTTGCTTTGCTATTTACTGCGTAATCCATGACAAGCAATAGTTTTAATCCAGCGGATTGTTATTGATTTATTTTTAAATATCTGATTCCATCACTGCTTTTTTTAATTTATTATTAGTGATAAGAAGGAATCGCTTAGAAACAACAACACTGTACAGCAAATCTTTCAAAATACATTCTATTTTTGTAGGTTTTTCATTTCTCCAAGAGTTCGACTATATTTAACCGAAATGCACATATTCTAAAACTGCACAGAGCTCTTTTGTTGACATTGTGAATTATATTATAATGTTATGACAATGAGCTTCATCCGTACTCTGTTTTCAGTTTTCAAATGATTGTATAGTATTTGAATTATTATAATCAAATAGCGTTTTACAAATATAATAGTAAATTGAAATAACATTCAATAGTTACAGATAACACTGAAAAGACCAAGCATAGATGAATCACTCACGTTAATTTATTAATTCCGCTGTTTTATAATGAGTTCTATTTACCAGCAATAAATGTATATAGCATTGTACATATTTACATATAAATGTCATTTTTACAGAATGAACTGTACGTAGCTATTACATGATTCCATTTATATATATGTTTATCTCCTATTCTTTTTCACAATAAAATTCATTCAGAATAACGTCCTTAATATGGGAAATAGGGTAATCATAAATTGAAAAAAAGAATATCATTATTATATTCATAAAGTATATTTGTAGTAAATCCTTATCATATCTATTCATCATCATCAGCGCTTAACTTATTTAAGTCTTTTTCGTAAAGGATTTATCGATAACACTATTTTGTAATGTTTATTCTTTTGTTACTGTTCACAAACTCATTTATAATTCATACAAAAAAGAACTGGATCTCACAAAATCAATGCTATTTTACTATACTAATACCCTATTGTGTATTACTAACTAGTTCAATTTGTCGCATCGAATATCAAGCTATTTTACTGTAAATACAACAACAGTACAATTTTTCTTGATAAGAATATCTTAAAATAGAACTGCTGTGGATAATTGATATAAACAAAAGCAAAAGCAATTGAAATAAATTACCAATATACAATTTAGTTGTGATGAGTATTGCAAACACTCATTCAATCATTTCACTAATTATTATTTATCAATCGTAGTGCTAAAAAGATATCTAATTAGCAATGTACCATTTGTTTCATATCTCATTCATTACGAGTTTCATTGTTTATATTATCCCATATAGAAAGAATGTAGTAAAGTAATGTATTTTAACCCATATATATATATATATATTATAATTGAAAACTTGCTTATTCACAGTCACTGCCAATCTCCAAAACCTAGTAAAAACAATTTTGAGATAATTTTAAACAATCCAGTTCATGCACTTGATCGAATCAATTCAATCCTTTAGAATCTAGTGATTTGCCAAGAATTACATATTTCTATATTGATTATTGCATCATATATGATTATCTCACTTTAACTTTTCCATTTCTCTTAGTTCTTTACTTACATTTAAAACATCGATTGCATAAAGGATTGAAACATTCAAGCTGAATTAACCTAGGTTATGATGATAAGAAGAGTCAATCGATGATCGGATCCTAATCAATGACCAGAGAATTATGATACGATGTTTAAAACAAAAAATAACACAATATAAGCAATGAATATGTAATGGTCATTAAATGGAATGAAACGTATATAGAATGTGGATTGAATGCTGGAATTACTCATCATCATTATCAGAATCTGATAGAGAACATATAAAGATTCAGAATCAGAATAAAACTCAGAATCAGAATCATCAGAATAGGAGTTCGATCCATAATTGATTTTAACAATATCAATGAGAATAGGAGAAACATCTATGACTTATAAATACACTCAAGAATAACTCGAAATTGATTTCGATCGAACATACATAAACGGAATTAATTCTACAAATCCATTATTACGAAAATCTTTATATATATTACCATAAGGTAGGTTGACAATTTGAATAATTGGAATATCTAAATACTATCAATATTTATCAGTTAGAACTACTTTCCAAAGTCACCCAACGAGGCCAAACGAAACTACAATGAACAGAATTGATAGACATTAGAATTGGAAGATCTACAAAACAAATCATTTCAAATCAACTCATTTGTACTTCGTATTATTAAGGAACATGAATCATTCTTCCATCTTCCTTCAAGTGCATTCCAACCGAGTTGAATGGATTGTAATGATGGAAGATCTACATCAATCATTTCATTCGAATTCATTCAATACTCTCGATTATTGTTGTTAAGGATTCACGGAATGCATCATCACCTAATTCTATGGATTGTAGATTTGGAAGATCTATGCATTATTGAAATATTCAATATCATATCAATACCTCGAATCACAAACGAACTATACAAGAAATTGCTTGAATAACTTCCAATTGTACCAATTTGAATGGATTGTAATTGTGGTAGATTCTTCAATTCAAATTCGCCTCCAAAATCACTGAAACTATATTCACCAATTTGAATGGATTCCAATGATTCACAATTCAATATGTGGAATGATTTCGATTCATCTCTTCCCCACAAATTCTTTTTCTGATTGAATGAATTGCTTCCGATTTTGATGGTTTTCAATCGATTCAATCCATCGATTTGGAATGTTTGCACTGATCCAAAACATTCATTGCCGATTTCGATTGATTCCAAATTATACAACAATGAAACATCCCAATCTACCAATACACATTTGTCAATCAGTTTCAAATGTTTCATTCCGATATTCAGTGGTTTGCTTCCATCTCCTTCATATTTTTCATCAATATCACATTCAATTCCATTATACCATTCACATTCATTCACTAATTTACCATATCGATCATACACTTTTCCAATTCCAAATCGATTATCATCACACCAATGTCCTTCATATTCAATACATCCATTATTATGATAACTCGTTCCATAGCCAAATCGTTTCCAATTGATCATTATACCCTTGTACACCAATATTCCATCATCATCATACATTTCACCATATCCAAATGGAATTCCAAACTTGTTTTCTGTCAATATCAATCCTTCAAATCGACTTCCATGATCCAAATCCACTATTCCTTTTTCTTCTACTTCTATGGACTGTTCATCATTATAGGAAATAGCACCAATTTGATGATTTCCAAACACTTTCAACACTTTCTGCTCACTCAACACAAATCCTTGATTCATGAATATTCCATTATTGAATTGTAATACTACACATTCTCTATTACTCAATATGAGTAAAATCCAGCCATATGGTTTCCATTCTGTACTCAAGCATCCCTGCACATGTTGGATGGTAGAACTATCAATATGATAGTTACTAGTAACAGAATTGACAAAATCAGCAATGTTTTGCATGGAAATGAAAAGAAATATGGTAAAACGGTATTTTTGGAAATAAGATCTGTTTCATTATTTCTCGATAGAACACACGTCATGGATTATTGTGTATGGCCTTGATATGCTGGTATGTTACAAACTAGAATACATAAGATAAAATCTCATTTTCTCCACCCATTTCTATTTTTCTTTATTTCGGTGCATTTCTATCTATTCATTTATTCTTGTGTTATATTTAGTTACTTATAGCTTTGATTGTAAATTATTACGCATTTTGATCACCTTTACTCTCTCCTGTCAGAATGGCTGTTCTATTAAGTCTATAATGGATATATGTTCTTCAAAATATATCAATTATGTGGTAGTTAATATTGTTTTGCAACAATCGAATTCACAATAGTAAATACTGTTGGAATGGTTTGATTCGTAATAGAGAGTATGGCAGTAGTATGTAGAATGCAAAATCCATCATTTCTATTTGACAAGTGGATTATTGTATTGATTCTCTGTTGATACTTCGATTCTCTTCTGTCACAATGATCATCCATATTGAGTACAAAGAATGATATTACAGAGAAAGGAATGTGGTTCATAGATTGAAATGGTGAATAGGAATCATAGTATCATTAAACAAAACAATCGATTGAATAATATGATAATGGATGGAATGCATGAATCCTATGAATGAAAACCTTGCTTTCTATTTGATCAACAAAACAATGTGAAATGCAATGTGATTAAAGTAGTAGAGAAATGACGGATAACGCGTGGAGACCTTTGGCCGCCTTTTTCGGTTATTGTCTACCCGGTTGCCTTGATGTCCATGGTGCAAAACGCGCG